TTGCAGATAGATCTACCATATGACCCAGCTATCCCACTGCTGGGAATATACCCAGAGGAATGGAAATCATCATGTCGAAGGTATACCTGTTCCCCAATGTTCTTCGCAGCCCTCTTTACAATAGCCAAGAGTTGGAACCAGCCCAAATGTCCATCATTGGATGAGTGGATACAGAAAATGTGGTATATCTACACAGCTATAAAATATAAAATATGGAATACTACTCAGCTATAAAAAAGAATGAAATACTGCCATTTGCAATGACATGGATGGACCTACAGAAAATTATATTAAGTGAAACAAGTCAAGCACAGAAAGAGAAATACCATATGTTCTCACTTATTGTTGGGAGCTAAAAATAAATAAATTCATACACACAAAAAAAATAACCGGCGGGGAGACATAACAATTACAATTTCTTACAGCTCCTTGAAGTTGACATGACAAGTGAACAGAAAGGACATTGTTGGGTGGGAGGGGGGAGAGGGAGAAGGGAGGGAGGTTTCGGTGATGGGCCACAGTAATCAACCACATTGTATATCGACAAAATAAAATTAAAAATTAAAAAAAAAAGAAATGCAGTATCAATTTGGCAGGTGGGAATGGATTTCAGGTGGTATTAAAGTTCTTTTTTTTTTTTTTTGGTGAAAAAAAAAAATAATAATAATAATAAATAAATAAATATCTTTGTATTCCCAAAATTCAAGAAACTGGCTGACTATTGTAATTCACTTTTTTTTTTTTTTTAAGTGAACCAACCTTTCCTTTTGGCTGGCTATTAAAATTCACTTTTTGTTCAGGTACACTAATCCACCTTTTATTTAAAACAGTAAAGCATCCATTGAAATACACACTTCATGGCCGGCCCGGTGGCGCACTGTAGCAGTGCGCCGCTTGAAAAAAAAAAAAAAAAAAAAGAAATACACACTTCAGGGGCTGGCCAGTTAGCTCGGGTGGTTACAGTGTGGTGTTGTAACACCAAAGTCAAGGACTCGGATCCCCATGCTGGCCAGACACCAAAAAATAAATAAACACATACATACATACATACATAAAAATAAAATAAAATAATAAAATAAAATATACACTTCTCTCTCCTCTACTATGGCATTCCTCCTAATGTATGTTCCAGAGAGTATTAAAACCTTCAGTAATGTTAATAGATATTTCTCAAAAAAAGAAAAAAGAGTCCTAAACATTCACTGACAGTGTGAAACTACAATAATGATGGTTTTTAAGAATACTTTCTTGTTAATAACTCTAAATTAGAATCAAATTTTACGAATGACCATGTAGTAATTATACAATAAAAAACAATAATAAATCTACTTTCATATGGGACAAATGGGGTTCTACAATAAAATTAATTTGGAGGAAAATACTGGATAAAAAAAGATAAAAAGTTTTCTTTACTAAGGACTCCTAAGTCTTTTTTTGGCTTTAAAAATTTGTTTATTGAGTTATATAATTCACATACCATAAAATATACCCTTCAAAAGTGCACATTTCAGAAGTTTTTAGTATATTCACAAAGTTGTGAAACCATCACCACTATCTAATTCCAGAACATTTTCATCACCCTAAAAGAAACTCCATACCTATTAAAGCAGTCACTGCCCATTTCTGAAAAAAGAAAAAGGAATGAAAGAAAAGGGAAGACAGTATACAAGGAAGAACACTTATCTCTTCATCTCTTTATGCCCCATTCCATTATCTATGCTGCCCATGGCTTTGCATAATAACATTTCCTTCTAAAATACCTAAATTAGATAACTGTCCTTATAACTTTGAATAAATGTAAAAAAACACAACTCCTAAGGTTAAACTTAGTAGTAACTGCCTATTTAGATAGAACATAAAACTTCTACACCAGAATAAAGTCATATAAGTACATTCTTTTGCCTGACAATGCCAACACAGTAAAATGTAGTTTAAACTGATAGGAAATTCTGGAGAAGCATCTAGAATTCTGAAATCCAACAAATCTGCACTGTAACCAGGCTTTCATTCCATCTATAATAATTTCTTTCTTTTTTTCCGTCCCCCTCACACATCTATAATAATTTCATAATTCAAAGATTAATTAACAAATAGTTTGCTAACCACTGTAGAACATATCCTTATTCCTACAATTCACTCTGGTATCAATTTCGCTGGAACTCAATGTTTTCCTTAACGAGAAGAGTGCTTATATATATAAGTAATTTGCAGATAAATCTCCAAGCAATGGACTGTTTTAGAAGAAGACAGACCGTCCTGATTGGCTTCTTTTTTTTTTTTTTGGTTTTGTTTTGTTCTGTTTGTTCTTTATTTGACTGGAATCTAAAACATTTTAGGAGACATAGGCTATGTCTTGAAAATGTCTGATTTACAGCTTCTTGAAAGGTAGCAAGTAAAATACTAGTGTATATTCCTCATGATAGTGTTAGGTCAGCTAAAGCTAATTCAAGTTAAGGCTCATTTAAAAATTCTTGTTTCATCAGTCAATTATAACTTCTTGGTTATACTCAGAACAAATAATTATATCCATCTCTTCCTGAGAAACTACATTCATTTATGCTGTTTACAGGTATTAATGCTTTCTAGAACATACATTAGGAAGAATGCCAGAGTGGAGGAAAGAGAAAGGTAAATCTTAATAAATGTTTTACTGCTTTAAATATAAGATAGGTTAGTTCTGCTGTGGCAGATGACAAAGATATATACAAGTCTTCTTTATAACCAGTCTCTACTAATGCTGCTACTTAAGACAGACAGCAAAACTAAGTCATACTACATTCAAAAAGACATACATTGTTTTCAAAATAACTATGAGAACTATTCTTAATTTTCTGTTTAATCTTTCCACTCAATTCCATAGTCATAGTTCTCTGCAGTCAAAACTAAAGCTTCTGCTCAATGATTCAGCAAATTTACCTGTAGGTAGTAAGTGTATGGTTGTCTGAGATGGTCCACTTGTTGGCACCCCAGATGGCTGAAGAGGCGGTGCTGGTTGTATGGGTTGCAGTGGTCGAGATACAGGCTGAGAAGAACTCACAGTTGATACAGGAGTGTGATTTAGCTTTTTGAGGTCTGTTAATTAAAGGTGAAACATTACGATTAACGATAGAAAAAAATTTAGAGGGGCTGGCTGGATAGCTCAGTTGGTTAGAGCACAGCCTTCTAACACCAAGGTACCTGCCAGCTGCATACACCTCAAAAAACTTTAGAAAATACAGGTCTTTCCTTTATGGGTGAATTTTATTTTTGCACGCCATGTGGGTGTCACATTTACCTCTAAGAGAATAATTCTTTCTATTTTAATTATGTGTATTTCTGCTGATTTGAAAACTGATTAAGGAGCTTAAATAATTGACTGTTGGTTTGATCACTGATTCCAATTCACATTTATAGAAATTCAGTTTTATGTTTTGTTTTTTTCAATAAAAGAATATTATTTTTGGATTCAATACAATATCGTGCCAACTACAATAATTTCATTTCTTGCATGAATGTATATGTATATATCTACATGCCTATATCAAGACTTCTCCTAGACAAATACCTATAAATTGGTGAGTTTTTCATTGTGATGTTGAATTCCAATTACTCTAATGTTGTTTAGATTCTTTTGTTTGAAAACATGGAGGGTTGCTTATCATCACTATCCATTCTTTAAAATAAAATACACATACAACGTCTAGTCTCAAAAAAAGATTTCCAATAGCATATGAAATGAATGCTTGTATCTCAGACAAAACCCTTAAAAATAGGAAACTATACTATAGGGTGTAACATAAGAGTGTACGCCAAAACCCCTTCTTTCCGAAATGATGCCCACTCATTTCTGCCCTATGGAATTCCTCACTAAAATATAAACAAAACCTAAGGCTTTAGCAACTGATACTTCTGCTGCTGGTTTTGGTGCTGCTGGAGAACAATGTACTTTAGAATGGGAGAATTCACCCAAAGGTGGGGCAATGGAAAGAGACCACATGAGGCATGGATGCTAGAAAGGGTAATAGTAAGAGAACTGAAAACAAACTTTGCTTACTTAACTTCTCAATTCAGAATCAGCCCTACCTGTGACCTCTCAAAAACAACCTGAATTTATTTTTGTCCTTTAGTGATCCATTATATACAAACCTGTCTATAAAACAATAGTGAAAACAATACAGATATTTGAAACTTCTTTAAAAGTATAATTATAGTAATTATACTGGTATGAGTTTAAACCTGATGAAGGATGGCATAAATCTCCCAATTTTACTTCAGTTCTATACAAAATTGACTTGACTGTCATATAATTAACTGTACAGCTATTTAATTGTTTTCCTAAGACCAACTAAACTTATTCTCTAAAATGTGACTTTTTAAATCTTTAGGTTTTTAAAAATGTAATGTCTTTAAAGTAATAAATGATTAACTTAAAAACCTGATCTTACTAGATTTTCCACATGCATTAATTATCATCACAGAGTTTTACTTAGTTATATGTCCATAAACAAAGTTACTATGTGCAGTCAAATAAGTTTGAGAAATATCTTGTATACTGAGTCACTCCTGGAGATTTACATTATAAATTAATATAGTAAAGGCTCAGAGAAGCCTGCATTAAAGAAAAAAAAAAGCATTTAACTTTAATTCAGCATTTCCCAAGCATATTTAACCACAGAAATTTTTATTCATGAAACATCTATTAACACTGCAGAAGAGAATTAATTGGGAATATAGTTTAAAATCTATCAGTATAGTTTCTAAATATTTTAACTCAAAATAATATTGAGAACTTTGGATGTGTATGCTTTTTAAAATTACTTTCATTTTTATTTATATAACCATAAATAAATAAAATTAATTCAAATGGCCAAAATTAAAATGTATTCACACTTATAAGTATCTACAATGAAACACACACACACAAAGAAAAAGAACAGTTAATGTACAGTCAGAAGACCTGGATTTGATTTCCAACTCTGACTTGTCCCCTCTAGGGCTTATAAGTTCCCTCAACCCTAAAATGAATATTACTGCATTATTACAAGGATCAGGTGAAATAAGAGATACAAAACAGAGGAGTTCCATAAATTAAATATTCTCCTAATTGCTGTTTTCCTCTATACCTTGTTCATATTCACTCAAGATTTGATTTCTATTTTTTAATTCTAATCTAAAAATCTCTTTCTAAAAGAGATACCAATAAACTAAGCATAATGCTGTAGAGACCTGTCTTCTTAGAATACTGTACTGTATTAAGGGAAAAAATGGTGTGAACGGCTCCCTGAGTGTAACTACTACGTAAGTACCTTGAGAAGCTGCACCCTCTTCATCATCCACTGTGAGATCTATGACACCACCTGAATCACCGCCAGTGGCTTTTCCACTCTGAAAAACAAAACTCCTTCATTTTGCAAAGGAAATTCTGGCATACATAAAGGAAAAATGAAGTTAACAGTGAGGGGAAATGAAGATAATGAGCAGCCGGGTTCAATCTGGACCCCTGAAGGGCTTTACCTGAAGAGACAGAGTTTGTCAGAAAAATGCCCGAGGAAACTCATGAGTTAAACTTCTGCCATGCTAAAAATATAATTTTCAAATATTGTCAAAAGACATTCTATAATTTTTTTTAAAAAAAATTAAGATGTCCACTGCATAAAGCTATCAAAGTGATCAGACGTTGTAAGCGATGGGATTAAACACAAACATCTTTCATTTTCTGACACTTAAATTGCTGACTAATCCTACTCTGAATTATCAATATTAATCCATCAAAACATCAAAAGCAATATTTAAAGGTAGAATTAGGTTACATAAAAGAATATTTTTTTCCCTAAAAATGGCACAGTATAGTATGGTATGATATGGTATGTTATGGATATAACAATTTGACCAAAATCAACCCATTGTCCAAAATCATTAGAAATATAATTAGGACTAAAAACAAACAAAACCCCCCTTTAAAAACCACATGATACCAACAAAAAAGGCAGAACAACATAGACCTAAAGAGCCAGAACTTGGAAGTCAAAAAGACTGAGTATAGCTTATGATTCCAACTTATTAGTATGTGAATTTATGGTAAAAGGCAATTTTCTCAATTTGCAAAATTTGGATATTGAGGCTATTTGTGAAAATTAATCCAAAAATGTATGCGATTGTTCCTTAACTTATGATGGGGTTATGTCCTAATAAACCCATCCTTAAGTCGAAACTATCTTAAGTAGAAAGTGCATTTAAATACCCTAAAAACCCATCCTAAAGTCAAAATATTGTAAATTGAATGAACCATCTTAAGTCAGGGGCTATTTGCACAAAGTGCTTAACACCAGATGACACATGGTAACTGCTTAATAAATGATAATCATAAGTTATTTTGATATATTATATTGAGATCAACTCCAAATGATTAAGGTTTTCATCTGCAAAACTCAAATTTTGCAAAACTAAAGAAAATACTTCCTTGTCTTCAGAGAATTCAGGTCATGTATGAAGATAATAATGTAATTCTAAATCTTATTTTTTACCTTCTCATGGCCTCTTTGATCAGGCCTTTATTCAAAATAAGCTGTCCAAAATGATTTGACTTTTATGAAATAAATTTAATAGTTTACATAGCAGGCTTCTTTCTTCTGTGAAAGGTTTCTTTTCTGCCGGCTTCTTTTCAGCTGCTGGTTTCTTGATAGCTACAGGCTTTTTTCACACAGGCTTCTGCTTCTTAACACCAACAGCCTTCTTTCTTCTCTACTACAGGCTTCTTGCCTGCAACTCCCTTCTCACCTGACTTGGCCTCTAGTGCTGCTGCTGCCTTATCTACCAGGAGTCTATAATTCCTATCCTGGTGAAGAATGGTATTCCAGCACATTGTCTTTGCATGTGGGTTTAGCTTCAGCATGATTCTTGGGGTTTTCAGTGGATTCCTCTTCAGGACTCTGTGATGAATCTTGCATGGTGCTTGGAGAGCTCTTTGGATCTCTGGCCTTTCAAGATTCTGCTAAGGTCTGTATTCATTATTTTGTGCATGGGAAAGTTATAGTTACTTTTAAGGAAAGCAGCTTTATGCTAACTACCATACGACTCATCTAACTTTCGGAAAGCACTTTCAGTCAAAATGCAGAAACCACCCACATGCCCACCAGGAGCAAGTTTCAAAATGTTCAGCTTGCTTACATGAAGCAGAGTAACTCCAGGGATGTTTCTGAAGGCCTTTTGTCCTCATTATAAATGAAACAGGGTCCCCTGCCATGGATACAATGATGGTTTCTCAATTTGTCCTTGCCAGCTCTCATTCACTGAAAGGTAAAGACCTTTTTGATATCATTTCATTCCAGGCCTTACATTTCTTAAGAAACAAACAGCCTCCCTAGTTTTCTTGTAGTCTTCAACTTTATCTTTGGCCAACAAAGGAAGTTTAGGAACTTCCTCAGTATGATGATCTTTAGGCATTACCAGTGCTGGGAAGGCTGAAGTAGCCAGGGCAGAGCAGATGGCATATTGCCTTTGGGTTGTATTTATTCTATGGTGGCAGTGGCACCAGGTTTTGTTTTGTGCAAACACATGGCCTTCACAACACATATTTCCCAAAGCACTCTGGCCAGAATGGTGAGTCCCACCACCTCGAACTGTGGGAATTCAAATCACAATTTTGCCAGTACCCTAAGACTCAGCACTGGTCTGATGGCCTGTTAATTCACCGACATCATAGGGCTGTCTGCTGTTTTTGCACAAGTTGCAAAGTGCCCAATATCTACTCAAATGGGAGCCTTAAACACAGCTGATAAAGTGATATTTTTGCCAGATGACTCCCCCTTTATGGAGTACACTAATATCAGTGGACAAGCACAAACCATGGTGGGGAGAGAAGAAGGCCATGCTCCTCTCAACCCAGAAGCTCCCATAAGAAAAGCTATAATTCTAAATCATAATCTTTATTAATCTTTCTATGATAATGATTTCATTGAAAATTACTTACTTACAAAAACACCACAAATCCAAAACTAAATTTCCCAACAATCCTCAAAGAATGTAAGAAAATTTACTCACTACAACATACTATCTATAAGGTCCAGTTTTCAATATTTACTAAATTTTGAAATTAATCAAATATTACCAGACAAACATGCAAAGACCAATAAAGTGGAATCCAAATTAAGACAAAAAATAAGTCAATAGAAACTGACTCCAAACAGAACCAGATGTTGCATTTTGGCAGATAAAGACTTCAGAGTAGCTACTAAAAATAAGTCTAAAGAATTTAAGGAAAATATGATATTAATGAATGTACAAACAGGAAATCTAAAAGAGAAATAGAAATTGAAAGACAAAGTTAGAAATAATAGGACTGAAAAGAATGACTACTAAAATAAAAATTTGGTAGGTAGTCTCAAAAACAGATTGCAGGGGTGCTATGGTTTGAATGTTTCAAGGGAGCAAAAAAAGGGAGCAAAAAACTCAGTGAAACTGATACTACATTAATAGAAATTTCCCAGTACAAAGAACAAACAGAAAAACAGAAGGAAATAGGAAAAGAACCTGAGACCTGTGTGATAATAAGAAACAGTTAAGCAAAACCCTAAATGAGAGAAAAGGGTTAAAAAAATTGAAGAAGTAATGACCAGAAACTTCCCAAATTTGGTGAAAAACATAATTTAAAAATATAAGAGGTTCAATTAATCTTAAGCAGGACAAACACTAAGAAATCCACCCCTATACACATCATAATTGAACTACTGAAAATCAACAGTGAAGAGAAAATATTGAAAGCAACCAGAAAGAAAATTACATGTTACAGAGGAGCAAAGAGTAATCGTTGACTATCTATCAGAAACTATGGAAGCCAAAAGACACTGGAATAATATATTCGAAGTGCTGATAATCTTTAAACTAATTTTATATCTAATAAAGTTCTCCTTGAGAAGACAAGCCAAAAAACACAAAAGCACAGTTTTAGATATACAAAAAACAAGAAAACTCATCACTAGAACATCTATCTACACTTTAAGAAAAGCTTAACGAAATCCTTTGGCTTGAAAGGAAATACCAACTCAGGTTTTATAAGAAGACCAGAAAAGGTAAATATAAGAATAAATATTAAAGACTATACCTCTTTTTCTGTTATAAATTTCTTATTATTGTGTAAGGCAAAAACTTAAAACAATGTATTTACATATTTGTAACATGTTGATGCAATACAGAATGTAATATATGTGGAAAAAAGACCACAATATACATGAAAACAAGAATATAATATACAAGGAAGGCAAGAGCATTAAAGGGGTAAATGTAAACATAAAATTGCAAGGTTCCTATAATTTATCTAGGTAATTCAATATTAATTTTAAGTATACTGATAGAACTTTAAGATTCACACATATATTGTAAATCTCAAAGTAACCCCCACCCCCAAGAAAACACTTATAGCTAGAAAGCCAGTAGAGGAATTAAGATAGAATAACTTTTTAAAAAATGACACAAAATAAAGCAAAAATGAAGGCACACAGAAACAAACATAAGAAAAAAAAAAAGGGCCAGCCCGGTGGCGCACTGGAGAGTGCGCCGCTTGAGAGCGCGGCAGCGCTCCTGCCGAGGGTTCGGATCCCATGTGGAGACCGGTTCCCGCTCACTGGTTGAGCGCGGTGCGGGCGCAACACCGAGGGTTGCGATCCCGTTACCGGTCAGTAAAAAAAGACAAAAAAGGAAAAGCGCGGTGCGGGCGCAACACCGAGGGTTGCGATCCCGTTACCGGTCAGTAAAAAAAGACAAAAAAGGAAAAAGAAAAAAACAGATAAAACAAATTCTACAAAAGCAAACCAACAGACCTAAGTACAACCACTTAATTACATTAATTTAAATTAACTAAAACTCCTATCAAAATGTAGAGATTGTCACACAGGAAAATACAAGAAATAACTATATTCTTTTCTCCCAGAGATTTACTTTAAATACAAAGACACAAACTGACAGTAAAAAGCTGAAAAAAGAGACAACATGCAAACAGCATAAAAATGCTGCTGTGACTATGTTAATATCAGACAAGAGACAAAGAAGAAAACTTTATAATGATAAAAGCATCAATATATCAGGAAGGTATAAAAAGATTTATGAAAAAATATATGACTTGTAGTACAGCATCAAAACATATAAACCAAAATTAACGAAATTAAACGGAGAAACAAATTCACAATCATGTTGGAGGCGAACATACTATTCTCATTAATAAATAAAATCACTAGACCAAAAACCAACCAGTAAAAAATACAAAAAAATCCAAAGGACACTATCAACCACACTAATTTAACTGACATTTATAGAACACTATATCCAACAGCAGAATAATACTCTTTTCAAGTGTAATGATAAATTCACTAAGATATACCATATGTGGGGTTTTATAACACAGGTCATTAAAAGTAATGAAGTAATACAGAGGATATTTTGTAAACCCAATAGCATTAATGAGAAACCAATAATAAAGGATATTACAAAATCCCCAAATAGTATGGAATTAAACAACAAACTAACTAAAACACCCAAGATTCCATGAAAAAAGACAAAAAACTGAATGATATAAAAATGCAAAAATATGTGGAAAGTAGCTAAAGCCATGCTTAGAGGAAAATTTATGTAATTAAATGCTTATATACAATAAGAAAGATCTAACATCAATGATCTAAGGCACTGAATTATGATTTTTATTGATCATAACCTGACACAATTCATCTACCATCACATATTACAGGTAGCTGCCTGGCTAGGGTTTTCTTTTGAGAAAAAAACTTGGTAATTATTACATAATTATTAACAGCATTTGTAAAATACTCATGATAGCCAGCACTATTCCTATCACACACTGTGGTATAAATACTTTACATTCACATTTAACACATTTAATCTTCACAGTAATCCTATGAGGTACCAGCATTAGCTCCATTTTATAGGTGAAAAATCTAAGGTATTAATTAATTTGCCAAAGGTCACCCACTATTAAGTGACAGGAGCCAGGTTGTCTGACTATAGAGCTTATTATTTCTATGCCACTAGGTGGAGACTGACAAACACAGACACATATACATGTATCTTTACATTTTTTTTCCTGAAAAAACATATCTGAGAAAATCTATCTAATCACATGTTTATATCTGTGTTTACACATATTACTAAAGCCTTTAGTTTGAAATCATCAAAAAAAAAAAAAAAAAAAAAAAACTGGTTGTATCAACTAGTTTTTAATACTAGAAATTTATTCTATTAAAAAGTTAGCTAATCATTCCCCAAAATGACCAGTCTCATTAAGCACCGAGAAAATTTCAAGAGAGCAAAGGTACTGGCTTTGTAGTTCTTTTGTAATAAACAAATAACAAGAACATATTTGAAAGACTAGAGTAGGGCACTTTGGCAACTGTGAAGAAAGAGTTAACACAAAAGACCTGGCTGCACATCTTGCACATCTCTCCAAGGGATCTTAGAACCATAAGTGAAGTTTGGTCAGCTGTCAGGAATGGGGTCAACAGAAAGTCATGTAAGTGATTGATAATTTTCTTTTTTTTAAAAGATGACCGGTAAGGGGATCTCAACCCTTGGCTTGGTGTTGTCAACACCACGCTCAGCTAGTGAGCAAACCGGCCATCCCTATATAGGATCCGAACCCGTGGCCTTGGTGTTATCAGCACCGCACTCTACCGAGTGAGCCATGGGCCGGCCCTGTGATTGATAATTTTCTAATCACTCCTTGAATAGTGACCTGTGCCATGCTGGCTTGTCAGGATTGCTTTGCACAAATATCAAAACTGATGACATACACCTGTATTTCACTGTTGGGGTCCTGAGTTTCCAATGCCATGACTGGTTACATAGGAAAATGTGGCTGTCACCAGCTCTCAAAAAAAACCTCAGACCCTGAGACTTAATCAAGCTTCTCTGGACAGAGACTCTGGGTATATATCCCTGCAGTTAATAAGCGAGAGAAAAAGCAAATCCTGTGAGATCCCAGATGGAGGAAGACTTGCAAACCTGTGCCTGACCTCTCTGAATTCTACTAAATGTATATCTTTTTCCTGTTGGTTTTGCTCTATACCTTTTTGCTATGATAAGCCATAACCATAAATATAAGCTGCTACTGGTTATGAGTACTCCTAGCAAATCAGCAAACTTGAGGGTGATCTAATGTTGAGTCCCTCGAAACAGCAATATAACTACAGACAATAACATAAAGAATTCTACACTATCTTACAACATATACTGATAATTTGAATTAATTGTTATAATAAAATAAATAATTTATTCTATAAAATGATATATATGAATAAAATATATAACAACAACTCATTATATGAAATACGACAATAAAAACTTATTTCGGGGGCATTTCTAGGACTACAAAAGAGAATATTTTACATATTTAACTATTTGCTAATTAGCTATCACTGAACAACAATCATTTCCATACTAGCCACCCAGATTCTTTCTAATCTATGATAGTCTTAAGGTATTAAGAAGTGCATAAAAAAAGGTTAGCTAAGTATACTGAAAAAGTGACGGTTCATAAAATCACAGGCTGTTTCACACTAGCTTCTATCTGCTAGTAAGTGGCATATAGAGTAAAAAGCTAATAAGAATTTAATATATCTTCAAAAACCAATAGTGTTACATTAGTGAAGATATTCATCATAATAACAAAAATTATATTTGTACCGAAAAATTCAAGCTGGCAAGCTCGACTTTAAAAGCACATATATATTTCCACAATGGTTTCTGATTATATAATAAAACCCTCCTATTATATTTACTATTCATATCCATAACTGGCACTCATTCAAAGCTGAAAACTTTGCTATTTTTGACAAGGCAGTGCTTTAGGAGGTTAGCTGCTCAGCCAAACTACTTGTATGTGTTTTCCATTCTCTGGTATTAAATTCCTCTTTCTCTAAGCCAAATAAAGTATCTATCAAGAACTTAATATTTTCTTGTACTGTCTCTTTGCTGTCTGATGAAGTCAATTCCTTTTTCATGAGTCTTTCAGACTGACTGATACAAGTTGTTTCTTTACATATGTCTGCTATAAAAGGTAAATTAAAATATTTTAGATTCCTGGGCCGGCCCAGTGGCGCACTGGAGAGTGCCCCACTTGGGAGCGCGGCGGCGCTCCCGCCGAGGGTTCAGATCCCATGTGGAGACCGGTTCCCGCTCACTGGCTGAGCGCGGTGCAGGCGCAACACCAAGGGTTGCGATCCCGTTGCCGGTCCCCGGTACGGGCGCAACACTGAGGGTTGCGATCCCGTTACCAGTCAGTAAAAAAGACAAAAAGGAAAAAAAAAAATATTTTAGATTCCGAACACTGTGAAGTTTGGAATAAAATGTGATGTTTTGAATTTTCTAGAATTCAATAAGCAGTGAATGTAAGTAGGTTTTGTACTATTTTATTTTTCCTGAATTTTAAAAGTATAGCAAGCTTTTATATTTATTTTAATTTCACTTAAATGTTTATGTTATTACATGCACTATATTTCAGCAAGAAATCTAGACATTGCAGTCAAATAGAACTTTGTGCAATGATAAAACTCTACTTCCGTGTTGTCCAATATAGCAGTCAATAGTCATATGTTACTATTGAGCCTTGAAATGAGGTTATTGTGCTTAAGGAACTGAATTTCTGATTTAATTTAAATTTAACTTAATTTTAATTAATTTAAATTTGAATAGCTATATATGACCAGTGGCTATTATATTACACAGTATACAGCTCTAGAAGAACCACCACTTATAAAATGAAGAAATATAGCCATTATAATGAACGTTTTCCTGTTCTGAAAAGGTAGGCTTGTCCAAAAACCAAACCAAACCAAAACAAAACAAAACACCTCACTGAGGGCCATAAAGGTGTTTATAAGATCTTTGTTTAGTTTTAGGTTTACTTTATAAAGTACAGCTGGACTGCCAATAAAACACAGTTAAAATTCACAAGACATCCTCAGAAACAATCACAACTTTGATCTTTAATATCACACACAGATCGCTAAAGTTAGTAAGAAATAAAATATATTTAATAGCTTTTATTTAATCTATAAACCATGGTGTAGATCTAGCTTGGGTCAAAAAATCCATCATTTTAAGCGAAAATAGTCATAATTAAAGATAGCTATACCCAAGTTTTAAAATTTGTCATTTATTCGTGCCTGACTTCGTCAAGAATTTTGTTTTTTATAGGAAAAATATATAAGTTTCTTGAAATGATTAAGAGGAAGGGAAGAAAATAAAACTATCAGCAACCTAATGACTTTGCTATAAATCTATTACACCTAAAGCAATATAGAAGAACTAGGATGAACACTGTTAATACAAAAAAGTAGTTACTCCATTATTGAGTTTAATATGAAAAAGTACCAACTGGTGAAATGCTAATAAGCTATCAGAAAAACACTTTCTTCCCCAAAATATATTTCTGATCACCTTTGAGGAAACTAACATGGAGAGAGAGGGGTACGACATGAAGGTAAGCCAGTTGGACCCTCTCAAAAAGATGGGCCTGGAAGAAATTACATATGTTTTCATACAGACTGAATCTTTATAGTATATGAAGGCAGATGACTAGGCTGTCAATTGTATAATCCAACCAGTTCATACAATAAACTAATATTATTTCTAAGAGAACTGCTAAGGAAAAAAATCGAATTCTTGTCAAATATTACAGAGAAGCTGTGAGAAAATTTTTGAACAGTTGGAAAAAACAGGCCTAGAATAATATTCATTGCACCAAAGAATACTGATGGAAATCCATTTTCCTGTGGACTGAAATTACAATCTTTCTTTGAAGTAGAAGGAAAAATCTTACCTGTGATGTGCTATCAGCTGCTTTCTTATTAACAGAAGCATCTATTGCTTTGTTTGTCTGATTTTCTGGAAGTAAAAAAAAAAAAAAAAAAAGATTTTTAAAAACATCTACAAAATATAAAAGGTTAGGTTGTTTTATATACCATAATTCAAGTAATTTTCTCCAACTATTTTTCTGTAGACATATGTAAATGGCTCGTCACATATGTAAATTGACTCTCATAGATCACAACTACAGTACCTTTCAGAAGGGTAAATTCATAATACAGATGAAAAAATTTTACATATCCATTGACCCAGGAATTTTAATTCTATCCTAAGAAATATCTTAGGGAAATAATTTAAGATGTATATAACTTAAGTGTTTTAACATGAGCAAACGATGAAACAAAATATAATTCTTCTACGCTGTGTCCCTTTGGAAGAAAAACTGAATGGTATATCAAAAATGTCCCTAATAAATTAAGTATATATACATACACACTCATATATTATCTTTTAATTTCATTTTTCCATGTACTTTTTTAGTACCCTCATATATATATGAAAGTTACTTTCAGAACAGGATAGAAAATAAACCAAGTGCGTTTCTGTCCCAATGTGGGGAAAAGAAGGTATTAAATTTTATCAAATGTCTTTTGCCATATATTGAGGCAATTATTTAACACTTCCTCTTTGGTAATGTAGCTAATAACATTATTAAGAGTTTTCTAATGTTGAATCATCCTATTCTTTCTTTATAGTGATGAAACCTTCTTGGTCGAAATATGGCATTCCAGCTCTGGTTCCCCAGCCAGGGCAGTGGGGGGCCAAGGGCCTTGACCACACCCCTCCTACACCCACAACCAGCCCAGCGATGACCAAGCAGCTGCGGGAAGCCCCCTGGTCTCCCCTGCAGTAATGAGGGGGATGCCACAGGCCTTGACCATGTCCCCCCTCCTTCCTCTTTCTTCCACCCTATTTCTGTCCGTCCTCCTCTCTCCCTGGCAAATGCTCCACAACATCTTAGAATGTAAAAAAATAATGCTAATAAATAAATTTTTAAAATTAAAATATATATATATTGCATTCCTTTCATTTACAAACCTTCAGAACACATATAGAGTAAACCATTTATCTTTTTTTAAAAAATAGGATATAAAGCTATGTATTTCCATATGTACATACATAAATCTGGACATTTAAAAACTCAGTTAGGATAAATACCCAACTGTTAAAAGATGTATTCTAGAGTAGGGAAAAAGGAATATCTTATAATTTTTCCTTACCCTGTCTGAATTATTTTAATTCCTTTTGTAAAAAGAATATGTAAACATATTGTTTATTTTTTAAAACATGTCTAAATTTTTTCTAAATTTCATTCTAAATTTTTTCATTTATTAGGAATGAGCATCTGTTTCAGGCTGAAGTTCCTGAAGACTATTTAACATAAAACTAATTCTAGGTTACTGATCCTAAATGCAGGAGTATTAAAACACACTGTTGACATTGGTAAAGCATCAGTGATTTACTACCAACTTTTTATATACAATGTTAAAAATACATTCATATGAATTTGAAATTCACTTTCATTTTCAAATATAAATGAGAGATAACTTTACATTAAAAGTAGATGAGGGATCTTCATTTTATTTTCTGCTATAAAACTCTCATACAAAAGAATTCCTCAAGATTCAGGAAAGATTTAGACTGCTTAATAAAATGTTACACACACACACACACACACACACACACACACACACACACCACACTTAAAAAAATAACTGAGTTTGTTACCCAGAATGATTCTCTTTTTGACCGAATTGTCTCAGGGCTACAAGTTAATTATTTACATAACTATGATAATATTCTTTATTCTAGATTTTCGATTAATAACCACTGCCCCTTTATTGTTTTTCTTGATTTTTAATGTAACAATTCACAATTTCACTGCATCTTTTTGTTTTCTTATACTATAATACTTACCTTAAAAGACTTCTGAAAATAAAACGTTATAAATCAATCTATCAATCAACAAAATTGGTCAGGGTGTGAAACTGGGAATTGTAGCTCAAAATCTATCACATGAGATACTTCTCTAATCTTGTTATCCTTAAAAGATATTGTCACTTGTAATAAACACTGCATTTTTACCACTGTCATAAAAGCGTTTTACATGAGTATAAATTGGAAGCATCCCTTGGTAAGTTTGGATATATTGGGAGTTTTTTGTCAATAAGAAACCCACTTTGTGGATAACTTTTGTATGAACATAAATGGAAGACAAAATGTTCATTTATTTAACTCTGTTCTTGAAGAAACTCAAAGGAAATTATGGTGGAAGGAATGATTGTTTTGCTTACACTCTAGTTTTCTTGGAATAAGAGATGTTTACCAAAATCTGAAAGAAAACTTGGTAAACAAATTATATATAACTCTTCCTCACATATGTTCTTCCTTTAATATCTAGCTTAGTAAATGGCATCAGCATTTAATAAAATCTTAGAAATCTTAGTCATCTTTGAATTCTCCATTTCTCTCACCTAATCTCTTATCAATAAATTACCAAGTACTGCCAATTCTATCTGTTGAATAACTTTTAAATCTTTTTCATACCACCATCTCTCATCTAATTCACTGTAAGAACCTCCTAACTGGTCTCCCTAACTGCATTCTTATCCCTTCTAAACTCTTCTCACACAGCAGCCAGTGTTTATGGACATCACACTCCCCCCTGCAAAACCCCTTTAACCTAACCCTATTTCCTCCATCCTTCTGTTCATTATCTCAAACCATTCCAGATTTCCCATGTCCTCTCCTATCTTCTCACAGGAACCTGCATATCTTAGTATTCATCACATTTATAATTAATTACTTATTTAATCGCCAGGTTCCCTATTTGAATGTAAGCTTGGTGAGAATAGGGACTATTTTGTACTTTCCTACATATCTGCAAAATCTTAGAATACAGGCACTTGATATTTCATGAATGTATAAAATTAGCTATAATTTGAGCCCTAAATTTCCAAGAAGCCCCTAGAAGAACCTTTACTTCACTACAAACTGAATATATTGATTTAAAATCCAAAAGGATATATTGAACCACAATAAAATACAGCCATCCCTTGGTTTCTGCAGGGAGTACTTCCAGGACCTCCCTCAGGTATTAAAATGTGCTGATGCCCAAATCCCTGACATAAAATGGCATACTGCTATGTAAATACTTGTTATATTGTAATGTTTAGGAAATAACAAACATGTTCAGTACAGATGCAATATATTTTTAAATATTTTTGATCTGAGGTTGGTTGAATCCACAGATGCAGAACCCATATAGATATGAAGGGCCAACTGCATATATGACTGCATACAGTCTAATTATACAGCATATGTTCTTAAGTAAATAATACCTACATAAGTATAGGACTTAGAAAGTTTTAATTATATAACCTAATTAATTTATCACAATAGGGATGTATTAACTTTTGGCTTCAACTTCATATTCAGCCAAAATCTGCTATTTGGCTTCAGCTTAGGTTTTTAAGAAGACTAAACAGCCAAATTCCTACTTTAATATCATTTCTGGCAACCCTGAAATTATGCATGATTAAAGAACATGCATTCTAATATGATCTCATTCCAATTAATATTATAAAATTCACATTCACTGTTAATATCTAATAATTAATTTTAAAATGTTGGGATGGGATCCAATCAATATGGTGGAATAGACAGTCCACAGCGTCACTCTCTCCCACAAATCAACCAAATTTACAACTATAAAAATGTAACATCAGCCAAGCCCGGGCCTCTGGAGCTCAGGGGAAGAGGAGGAGAGACCTACAGAGTTCATGAACGCGGGAGAAACTATGATGAGAAAAAGAAAAAGCTGCTCTGAGCATGAGGCCGCGGCTGCTTTAATGCTGGAGCTGCTGAGCGCATGGAGCAGGAGCCGGCAGAAGTCTCAGCTGTGCCCTTCAGATGGAGTTACTTGGAGGAGGCAGGGGAGAAGAGGGACTTGGCGGCCTCCAGGACAGCAAGACCACTAATAGGGTTCACGTGGACCCACGCAGGAGCGAGGAGCCAGAACAACTGTAAAAAGGGAACCACTCAGAGGCTGGTGAGTCATTGCAAGGGACCGGAGCAGGGCCGGTCCCATGGGAAGTGTTTGCAGCACGGGCGGTGGGGGTGACGTGCCCACCAGGAGAATACTGGGACACAGCAAGGACAGCTGATCTACCCCCAATCAGCACAGGACCACTCAGAGGAGACTCCTCAGGAAAGCAGAATTACATAGGGTACAGTTTGATGAAAAAACTCAGGCCCAGATCAGAGATTCCACAGAACACAGATCCACTGGGTCTCTGGAGAGCCAGAAGTACCTATAAGGTCAACCATTAAACCCTGAGCTGTACAAAAAGCCTTCCCTAGGGAAACAGCAGCAAACATGGGGTGCAGTTTGATGAAAAAACTCAGGCCCAGATCAGAGTTTCTACACAACAGAGATCCACTGGGTCTCTGGAGAGCCAGAAGTACCTATAAGATCAACCATTAACCCTGAGCTGCACAAAAAGCCTTCCCTAGGGAAACAGCAGCAAAGTAGCAATTTAAACAACCACACAGCTCAAGTACTGGTTCCCACAGAAAGTTCCCCTGTGTTAGAAGCAAAGGACAAAAAATTAGTTCCGGCCCAGGCACACCACCAGCACCTCAGGGCCTGCCTGGGAACTAGAGGCTTGGATCTGGGGACCAGACCCCACTCCCACTTCCAGGCAAACTGCGCCGGTGCCTCAGGGCCAGCCTGGGGACCTGAAGCATGGAGAAGGGGACTAGACCCCCCCCCTCCCACAACTAGGTACACCACGCCAGCACCTTGGGGTCTGCCCGGGGACCCAAGGCAAGGAGAAGGGGAACAGACCTCTCTCCCACAACCAGGCACACTGAGCCAGTGCTTCAGGGCCCGCCTGGGGAACCGAGGCATGGAGAAGGGGACTAGACCGCTCTCCCACAACCAGGCACACCATGCCAGCACCTTGGGCCCCGCACAGGGACCCAGGCATGGAGAAGGGGACCGGACCTCTCTCCCACAACCAGGCACAACATGCCAGCACCTTGGAGCCCACCCAGGGACCCGGGGCAAGGAGAAGGGGACCGGACCTCTCTCCCACAACCAGGCACACCATGCCAGAGCTTCAGGGCCCACGTGGGGACCCAAGGCATGGAGAAGGGGACTGGATCCCTCCTCCCACAACCAGGCACACCACGCCAGCACCTTGGGGCCTACCCAGGGACCCAAGGCAAGGAGAAGGGGACTGGACCGCTCTCCCTCAACCAGGCAACCAGGCACACCACGCCAGTGCTTCAGGGCCCAGCCCAGGGACCCAGGGCATGGAGAAGGGGACCAGACCTCTCTCCCAGAACCAGGCACACTGAGCCAGCGCCTTGGGGCCCACCCAAGGACCCAGGGTATAGAGTGAGGACTGGACCTCTCTCCCACAACCAGGCACAACATGCCAGCAACTCAGGGCCCACCTGGGGACCCGGAGCAAGGACAAGGGGAATGGTCCTCACTCCCACAACCAGGCACACCACGCCAGTGCTTCAGGGCCCACCTGGGGACCCAAGGCATGGAGAAGGGGACTGGACCTCTCTCCCACAGCCAGGCACACCATGCCAGCACCTTGGGCCCCGCACAGGGACCCAGGGCATGGAGAAGGGGACTGGACCTCTCTCCGACAACCAGGCACAACATGCCAGCACCTTGGGCCCCGCCCAGGGACCCAGGGCATAGAGAAGGGGACCGGACCTCTCTCCCACAACCAGGCACACTGAGCCAGTACCTTGGGGCCTGCCTGGGGACCCAAGGCAAGGAGAAGGGGACTGGACCGCTCTTCCACAACCAGGCACACCATGCCAGCACCTTGGGGCCTGCCCGGGGACCCGAGGTAAGGAGAAAGGGAATGGACCTCTCTCCCACAACCAGGCACTCTGAGCCAGTGCTTCAGGGCCCACCCTGGGACCTGAGGCATGGAGAAGGGGACTGGACCTCTCTCCCACAGCTAGGCACAGCATGCCAGCACCTTGGGCCCCGTCCAGGGACCCAGGGCATGTAGAAGGGGACTGGACCTCTCTCCCACAACCAGGCACACTGAGCCAGCACCTTGGGGCCTGCCCGGGGACCCGAGGTAAGGAGAAAGGGGATGGACCTCTCTCGCACAACCAGGCACTCTGAGCCAGTGCTTCAGGGCCCACCCTGGGACCTGAGGCATGGAGAAGGGGACTGGACCTCTCTCCCACAGCCAGGAACACCATGCCAGCACCTTGGGCCCCACCCAGGGACCCAGGGCATGGAGGGGACCGGACCTCTCTCCCACAACCAGGCACACTGAGCCAGCCCCTTGGGTCCCACCCAGTGACCCAAGGCATGGAACCAGGAACCAGACCCTCCTCCCACAACAAGGCACACCATACCAGCACCTCAGGGCCCAACCAGGGACCTGAGGCAAGGAGAAGGGGACTGGACCTCTCTCCAACAACCAGGGACAACATGCCAGGACCTCAGGGCCCGTCCGGCCCAGAAGCATGCGGAAGGGGACTGGACCCTCCTCCCACACCAGGCACAAAACGCCAGCACCTCGGGGCCCAGCTGGGTACCCGAGGCATGGAGAAAGGGACCGGACCCTCCTCCCACAACCAGGCACACTGCGCCAGTACCCTGGGGCCCACCCAGGGACCTGGGACATGGAGAAGGGGACTGGACCCCTCTCCCACAACCAGCTACATGGCGCCCAGGGACCAGAGGCATGGAGAAGGGGACCAAACACACCCCACAACCAGACATACCACCAGTGCCAAGGAGCATGCCGAAAACAGCACCACCACAGCCACTACAGTAACCATGGCTGCTGCAAAAGTGGCTAGATGCCACAACCACCACGCAGATGGGCCGCCAACCGCTGGAGTTCATTCACACAAGAAGAGTCACCAGCAGAGACAAAGAAAAGAAGAGGATGTCTCTTTCCACAAAACCCATTTCAGAGTGACAGAAGAAGCATCTGCTCTATGATAATATTGGGGGACCTGATGACATCTCTCAGCATTGGACAGATCATCTAGGCAACAAGTTAACAGAGTAACCATTATTCTTTCAGAAGAAAAGAAATCTAGGGCAATTAGAGGGGGGAGGGGGAAGGAATGGAGGAAGGGGAGAGATTGGACAAGGGGCATAAAGAATAATTACAATTTGTAACAATATATATGATAGTAACATTGATTTGATCAACGTATCTCAATGTTCGACCCCAAAAATATGTATAATCGATTTTGATTCAATAAATAAAATAAATTTAAAAAAATAAAATAAATAAAATGTTGGTAAGCATTCCAAATAAAACTTGAAATAAAGATCTCCTTAGCATAATTTATATTCTTAGTATATTAAAGTACACATAAATGTGTTAAATATACATGTTAAAATGTAAGATTTTATGTTTCATATTATCTCAAAGGTAGAATGCTGTACTATGACTGTGAAAACTATCAATTTTATATACAAAAAAATTAAGAACAGCCAAATAAACACAAAACACAATGACACTTAAGACTAAAGAGTGCATCAGCTAGATAATTTTGGGAAATAGTCCTTTTTTTAATTTAATTTAATTTTTTTTTTCTGGGAAATGCCCTTTTTGTGTTATTAAATGCTCACAAAAACTTTAAGGAACAGAATAATGGAATTATAATTCTAATATTTGTAGAAATGTTTAGGGTATGTCCATTCACAACATTAAACAAAATATTCTTTTCAGGCCACGGTCTTTCAGGAAAAGTTCTATATTTAGGAACATAGCTCATCTTGTGACCATGAATTAAAAACAATTGTCAATTTTGCCTTAAAATATCATAAACTGAAAAAAATCCAAAACCGCATAAAACAAAGTCCATCGTAAATCATATGACATATTAAAAAATACTAGGAATTAAAAGGAAAAGAAATTAGAGATGAAGTATCCCCCAAAATCTTCCTTGTCGCTGACTTCAGTTAAAAGTAAGCATCTCTTTTAGTGCTGAATACAAGAGTTTCTAAGGAATAATGTTGTAGCAGAAAATGCTAAGAAACATTGTCCCTGTGCAATGTAAATACTATTAATAATAGTTGTATTTTCATGTAAAAGGTCAGTTTGCTCTTATATCCCAGATGTTTATTGTATAAGGGTAATACTCAGCTTTAACTCAATATTAATTTTGATTTGCCACTCATTTACGTTCTTGACAACTCTGTGAAACAGCATCACTATTTTTTTTTTTTTTTGTCTTTTTTCGTGTCCGGCAACGGATTGCAACCCTCAGTGTCACGCCCGTACCAGACCGGGACCGGCAAAGGGATCGCAACCCTCGGTGTTGCTCCCACACCTCGCTCAGCCAGTGAGCAGGAACCGGTCTGTATGTGGGATCTGAACCCTCGGCGGGAGCGCCACCACACTCCCATGCGGCGCACTGTAGCAGTGCGCCACCGGGCCAGCCCCAGCATCACTATTTTATATGAGAAAACATAGTTAAAGAGTAAGTACACTACTAATGGCTATATGACAAATAGAAAGCAAGGCTTGTTTAGCTCACGTATAAAAATTTAATTTTGCACTTTACAATCTGTTTTTCATACTTCACTTACTACATCAGTAAGAAAGATACTGTAGCCATTTCACCATACCCCATGATATCTACCCATTCTTGACTACATTTCCAAAAGTAATAGAGATAAATGTAAAGTTAGAAATGAAGACTAGGGCTGGCCCCATGGCACACTAGGGAGAGTGTGGCGCTTGGGAGGACAGGGGCGCTCCCGCCGCAGGTTCGGATCCTATATAGGGATGGCCGGTGCACTCACTGGCTGAGCGCAGTGCGGGCGACAGCAAGCCAAGGGTTGCGATCCCCTTACCGGACACACACACACACACACACACACACACACACACACACACACACACACAAACAAGAAATGAAGACTAAGCAAGTTCGAGAATGCACAGAAGATGTATGCTTTCTAGGAACAAGAAAGACACAGAATTTTGCAGATTTTAAACACAGGTACAATCAAGTTCTCCTTTTGCAATACTTCCACGTAAAATACAAACATAATCATATATCATATGGGAAAATTTAGAAAAAATAAGAAGGAATTGATTATTCTATGGTAAATGAGAGAGGGAAGAACCTATTTTTAAACTGTTCAAATTTGGGAGATGTGGTTGATGAATGACAAAGGATTTTCCCAAATGGGTAGGGAAAACCATGGGTATGGTTTTTATTTTTCTCTTATAAGCATATATTATGTCAATCTGATATTATGAAATACAATTGTTCTATTCAGATATTCCTGTCAAATATATCTATCATAAAAGTAATTCTTGGGCCGGCCCGTGGCTCACTCGGGAGAGTGTGGTGCTGATAACACCAAGGCCCCAGGTTCGGATCCCATATAGGGATGGCCGGTTCGCTCACTGGCTGAGCGTGGTGCTGACAACACCAAGTCAAGGGTTAAGATCCCCTTACCGGTCATCTTTTTTTTTAAAAAAAAAAGTAATTCTTAATGCTACAAAGCCTTAATCAAAAATTCACCACAACTAGAAAAATTACTAAAAAATAAAATTAAAATGCCAACTTTTCATTCAAAATAAGCCCCCTCTCAGGCCCCATTTTAACAACATAATTTCTCTTAGATATCTAAAAAATTACTAAAAATAATCTCAAGGAATTCTATTTACTCTGTTCTTCCAATAATGCTAGCCACTTCCAAAAAAAAAAGTGCAGTCATTAAAAGGCCATTAATACATTGCATTTTTATTATTACACCTACATGGTGACTTACCAATCCTTGGGGTAGTAGTGCTGCTCTGTTCTGCAGGAGATGAAGTACTAAAAGCAGAAATTGGAATTTTCATCTGTATAGGACCTCGATTAGTTGGTGGACTATACAGTCCTGATGGGCCTACTGTGGGTAAAGAAGTCCTTGTAGCTTGTACAATAGAGTGTGCTGTTGGAACAGCCTGTACAGCAAGTGTTGTTCCTAATGGTGCAGCACTGGCAGGAGAGTTCCTTTGAATACTAGAACTGGGCACAGAAGGAACGTTGCTTGGTTTAGTGGGATTTGGCAAGGATGGCAAGGACACCGGATTTTTGGTAAGACCACTCACTGTAGGCGGGCTTTGCACAGAAATGAATTCAACGTTGCCAGATGGTTGATTGGTCACTAAAGTCCCTGGATGGCTCTGTAGTAGCTGAGGCTGGGAAGATACTGCAACAGGTACATGCAAAATCACTGGCAAAGGTTGTAAAGAGATTGTAGGTTGGGGATTTCCAGTAGGCACCTGAGTAGTAGCAACTACTGTAGCTGTGTTGGGTGCAGGAAGAACTGACGTTGCTGTCAGAGAACCCGAAGTTGCTGGAGACTGCAATTTAGGTTGACTACTGACAACTGCTGGAGGAGTGACAAGACTGGTTGATGATACTACAGAAAGAAAACAGAAGTCTCAGTTTAAAAGGCTATCTTAATATATCAGCTAGAATAATAACGACACATACAAATTTAATATAGTACATTAGGTACAGTAAAGTCTTTCATAATAAATTTTTTTCCAGTTTAAATTCTGGAAATTTTTAGAATTAAATTTAGAAGCCTTTTTGCATGTATGTTTGCTAGGTATATTCTGAAAACAGTACATGATTTACGATTACTGTGGAGGACTGCTATCTCAGTATCAAAGCTGTCTCTGAAAATTACTATAATCACTTCAGAATAACTAACTAGGAAAACAACTAAAAATGTATAGATATTTTTGAAACTACACGAACATTATAAATACCTTACAACACCAGCAATATATAAATCCAAATAGTAAATCTGGAAAGAGTCATAACCATCAACGAATAATAGGAAAACTTAGTCATCATACTTTATCATTTTACGATGTGAATCCTGTATTTGTGGGTTAAATTTTATTGAATTCCCTGGGAGAGGAACTAATGAGGGGAGGCTCCCTCTGTTGATACTCTATTGACATTATATGATACGAAAAATAGCACTGAGTAAAGAGCAAAGATGAATTAACAAATGAGCGAACATATTCTAAAGAGCGGAGAGAATAAAAATGCTGGTCATTTCCAGTTTTGTAGTAATTTTGATTCAACTATTAGTGTTCATTCTCACTGGAACAGGTTTGAAATACATGACCAAATTCCTTTCTCATTGATTTACGGTCTTTCCAAAATCACAAGAACACTAGAGCAGCAATTCCCAAAGTGTGATCCAGGAGAACACCCGGGGTTTCCTGAGACCCTTTCAGGGAGTTTGCAATGTCAAAACTATTTTCATAACAATAATGAGAAATTATTTGACTTTTTCACTATGTAGACATTCGTACTGATGGAGCAAAAGCAACAGTGAGTAAAACTTCTGATGCCTTAGCACAAAATATCAAGGCAATGTAGTGGTTCACAACTGTCTGCACTCTTCATCATCACATGCTTACAGTAAAAAACAAAGTCAGTTTCACTTAAGATTACACAGGATGAAGCTGTAACAACTACTAATTTTATTATATCTCAACCTTTAAGCAAAGGTTCTTAATATTCTGTGAAGAAATAGGTAGTACATATAAAACATTAGTACTGCATCCCAAAGTAGGATGATTGACTCAAGGAAAGGTGCTTGTGCAATTAAGTTGTAAGCTAAACTATCAGCCTTTTTCATGAATGACCATTTTTACTTGAACGAATGGCTACGGACATACTGTGATTATTCACATTTGGGTATTCTGCACACCTTTTCTTGAAAATAAACCAAGCAAGGTAGTTACTTGAAAGAAAAATACCTGACATTTATTGGCAATAATAAAATTCAAGCTTTAAAAAGAAAAATTGAAACTTTAGAAAAAACTTCTGTCATTGGGAGCATGACAGCTTCCCAAATGCTTTAAGATTTTTCTGAGAAGAATTGAGAGTGGAAATAGTGAATGTAATTTTTAAAAAAATATTTATTAGTGAAATGTGTCAACATTTGGAAGATTTGCATAACCCAGTGAATATTTTTCAAATGATCAATGAATAATATTAGCGAAAGATCCATCCAAGTGCAAGACAGATGAATTAACTGTAATGAAAGAATTAGAAAAGTTCATTGGTAGTGTTTCAGAGTCCGCTTTGCAACTAACCTTAAAGAAACTATGATTTGATGGTACCAAAGAATAGCCATTATTATCTAGCCCTTGTCCACCTATATATTTGTATGAAGCTGCATTTTCTTCACATATTTCAGCCAAATCAACATACTGAAAGCAGATCTAGATATAAGAATCCAGCTATCTTAAGCTGTCTTAACATTTTAAGTAAAACATTAAAGAGATTTGTGAAAATATAATACGATAACACTTTTTTCACTGATATTTTTAAGCTTGGAAAAGATAGTTATTTGTTGTTTAAAAAATGTTCTTTGTATGGATTTATGATTATTTTTAAATGAATAAACATTTAAAATATTTGTTTTAATTTCTATTGAAAGTAAATATCGATTGATATTACCCAATGAACAAAAATCCTTTGGGATTCTTAATAATTTTTTAAGACTGTAAAGGGATATGAAATGTTGGAGAACTACTACTCAAGAGATTTTAATATATATGTTTTCATGCACACTTATCTATGATCCTGATTTTTTAATAAAATTTTGTACTTAAATCAATGTGCCTAGTTCTGTCTATTTCAACGCCAAAAGAACATAAGAAAACAGAACAAAGCCTTCAAATCCTAAGAAAATGTATTTCAGTGTTAAAAAAATATTACCTGTATTCACAGGAGTTTGAAAGGATGGTGGTGCACTCTCGCTTACATTTCTTTTGGACTCCAGCATCTGTCTCACTGTGCCTGCATTTCTACAAAATATACATACACACAAATACTCAATGGATATGCCACTCTGGGAGACACCAACTGATGTACAGAAAAAGCAGTGGCCAATAGGGGAAAAGGGGTAGCTAGATTTGGATATTACAACCCTAAACCACAAGCAAATGCACTGATGCACAGCTGGCACACAGACTTCTAAATGTTGGTGTCTACTACATGAAGGAATAGTCTTCCTCTTATATTCTAATATCATTAACACTTAACTTGAAGACCAAATACAGGTCCTAATATACACAGACATTAGTCTGTCTAACCACTGACCAAAGCATTTCTCCATTATTTGAGAGAATACTATTTTTAACAAGTAGTTAAAGAAATATGTAGTGGCCAAAGAAAGCCTTCTAAAATAAATTAGCAAAAGTAATATCCATAAAAAAGCAGAGAAAGAAAATATACTCATTCTAGTATACCAAATACTTATCTCTACATAAATACATACGATACATTCCAAGATTTTTCTATCAAATAAAGAAAATCAGAACCTTGTTTTCTAAACAGACTACACAGTAACTATATAAAACTAGACTAATAAAAACTAGACCAAAAAAAGGTTTAAAAAAAAAGGAGGGGGTCGCTGGCTGCTTAGCTCAGTTGGTTAGAATGCAGCCTTATAACACCAAGCTCACAGGTTTGGAACCAGCCAAATTAAAAAAAAACAAAACAAAACCCTAGACAGACTATAGTAAAAGATGAAAGATTTGTGTGATATGAAGAGAAATATGAGTATCAAACAGACTATTTATAATTCTCACCTGTAGGGTATATTATTATTGCTGTTGACATCATTGGCAGTCTTTCCTGGTGATATAGGTGGGTTTGGTGGATTCTGGGGAGAAAAATACAAAACCCAACATACAGGGAATCTTTAAGAAAAGTAAGACCTTTAAATGCTTTGTCAATATATGATCTGTTATTTCTATAAAATAGTAGAAAACATAACTAATTGAGACAAGAATTTGAATCTAGGTGTTGCCACTTGTTAGTTATATCCTAAGCAAATCATTTATTCTGTTGAAGACAACTGTTTATCATTTGAAAGATGAATATAGTAATTCTTATATCTCAGTGTCTTTGTGAGGATGAAACAAAATAAAGAATGTGAAAATGGCTCACATACTGTAAGGGTTCAACAAAAATTAACATTATAAATCTAAAGAACAACTAGACTCACTCATTCAATAAATAGCTAGTGAATGCCTACTATACAGCAGGTGTAGCAAGCCATCATATTTGCATTGGAAATTCAACAAACAAGGTAAGTGGTATCCAAGGTCATAAAATTCCTCAAATCAAAATTATTTTTAAAATTTTGTTTTAAAAAAATAATACCTGTCACTATGTGACTTAAATAATTTTATAAAAAGATGTCACAATTCTAAGCTTCAGAAACAACTTATTTCAGCCTTTTCCCCCAAACCAGGGAATACGGAAATGAAATTCTAACACCTATATATTAATTAACACTATTTAGGCCTCCATCATTAATGACATTTATTTCTTAAAATGAGAAGAATAAAGTAACTCCACTCAAGACTAAACTGAATGTAAGAATAATGTATACTTAACCAAAGGTGATATGTGCTTAGAATTACATCAAGCAGGTATCACTAATTACTCTTCTTTTCTCAACAACAAATACATCTTCCTAATTTGTATAAGATAAAAGAATAATTTTAACCTACCACTACAGCACTGTATTAGGTACGTGTATAGAGGCAGCAATTAAGATAATCTGCCATAAAGGTACTTAAAATCTGGTTGTCTAAGACAAACACATGTTAATAAAACTGTAAAGCAAATTAAAATAACAGTGTAGTACCAATAGAAAAAGTTTAAAAAAAGAAAAATTGGAAGGGAAAGGAATGCATCTTCAAGCAGATCTTTGAGTAATTATTACACTCAAATAGCTAAGAAAAAGGGAAAAAAATGCTTCATGGAGAAAAACAGAAAAAAGAATAAAAGCATACAGAATAAATAAAGCAACTGGCTTAGACCCCAAATGAAGTCATTTGATGGAAGACTTTAAAAACCGTGGTGTGGTGAAATCAGCCACATGATGGAATGGGAATCCCCAGACCCTCCTTCCCCTAAAGAAACAACAACTTAACAATATAAAGAGCAGATTGCTTTTGTGAAAATTCCAGAAACTAGTTGAAAGGTTACAGCACTCCGGGTGAGCACAAGACTAAAAAGAGGTACGCTGGAATGGGAAGGAAGTATGTTACACTTACCTGCCATTCCCCATTAAACTTCCAGCACAGCACAGTGCAATCAAGGATTCTCCATCAGTAAGGAAAGAGAAGGGTGGAACTTTTCACAAGGATGCCCAAGGGACTAGTTTTTGTCTCACCGAGCTTGAAGGCCTGACTAGGGGCACAGAATGTGACAGTGGCACACTTTGGATGCCTGGAGGCCTCAGAGACTAAAGGCAAGACCCTCTTCTTGCTATAGCACTAAAGATTGCAGTAACACAGACAGACAACAGGGTGAGCACCAATACAACAGCTTGCTACAGCACCAGAGGCAGTAATACCAAAGACAGACACCAGGAGTAGTTCCGGAGTAGAAACACAAACCTCTTCAGATGACAGATTACAAACAAAAGCCCAAAGACACATCTCCAAATAAGGTTTTAGAGGCCCATGGAATCTCTAGTCAGGCTGACTGGTAAAGGCCTTTCTCTACACAAATGCAGTCCATTAAGACAGGGAAAAGTGATTGTTTTTTCAAATGCCCAAATTTCAACAAAATGCCAAATTTCGACAAGGCATACAAAGAAATAGGAAAATATGGCCCAATCAAACAAATAAATCTCCAGAAACTAACTCTAAGGAAATGAAGATCTATGCATTACCTGACAAAGAATTCAAAATAATTGTCATTAAGATGCTCAATGAGGTAAAAGAGAACACAGACAGCACACTAAAGCAAACTCAGGAAAACAGGAAAAGGATGCATGAATAAAATATCAATAAAGAAACAGAAATTATTTTTAAAAAGTCAAATTCTGGAGCTAAAGAATACAACCAAAATTAAAAATTCACTATAGGGTATCAATAGCAGACTGGATTGAGCAGAAGAATAAATCAGTGATCTTGAAGAGAAGTCATTTGAAATTATCAAGCCAAAGGAGCAAAATTTTTAAAAATGAAGAAAAGTGAAGAGAGCCTAAAGGACTTACGAGACACCAACAAGCAAACTAACATACACATTAGGGAACACAAAGGGGCAGAGAGCCTACTTAAGGAAATAATTTCTGAAAACTTCCCAAATTGGAAGAAGGAAATGGACATAAAAATTCAAAAAGCTCAAAGAACTCCAACTATCATTAACCCCAAAACACCTACACTGAGATACATTATTATTAAGCTGTCAGAGGAATAGTTAAATAATCTTGAAAGCAGCCAAAAAACAAACAACTCATAACATACAAGGAAGCCCCTATAAGATTACAGTTTCTCAGGAGAAACTTTGCAGGCCTAAAGACATGGAATGATATATTCCAAGTGCTGAAAGAAAAAAACTGCCCATCAAGAATACTATATCCAGCAAAACCGTCCTTCAAAAATGAGGGACAAATTAAGACTTTTCCAGAAAAACAAAAGCTGAAGATTATCACCACTAGATCAGGCCTACAAGGAAAGTTAAATGGAGTCCTTCTAATGGAAATGAAAGAATGCTACGCAACACCATGAAAGTATAAAAAATATAAACTTCTCTAGTAAAGGTTAAATACAGAGACAACTACAGAATCCTATATTACCATTCTATTGATGTGTAAATCATTTTTAATTCTGGTACAAAATTTAAAAGACAAAAGCATAAAAAATAACTATAAAATATGTTAATGGATACACAATATACAAAGATGTAATATGTGACATCAGTAACATCAAGTTGTGGTGAGGAGGCTGTAAAGAAATAGAACTCTTACAAGTTAGGTTGTTAACACTTTAAAATAGATAGTTAAAATGTTAAGGTATTTTACATAATCTCCCATGGTAACCACAGAGAAAATACCTACAGAAAATATACAAAAGATAATGTAAAAGGAATCAAAGCATGTGACTACAATAAAAAACAATGAAACAAAGGAAAGGAGCAAGAGAGGAACCAAATAGCTACAAGACATAGAGAAAAGAAAAAAAATGGCAGTAGTAAGTCCTTCCTAAGCAGTAATCACTTTAAATGTAAATGGATGAAACTCCCCAATCAAAAGACAAAGACTGATCTAATGTACTAAAAAAAAAAGATCCAACTGTATGATGTCTACAAGAGACTTACTTTAAATCTAAAGACACACCAAGGGTAAAAGTGAAAAGATGGAAAAAGACATTTCACGCAACCGGTAACAAAAGGAGAATAAAGGTGGCCATACTTATATAAGACAAAATAGACTAAGTCAAAAACTATCAAAAGAAACAATGAAGGAAATTATATGATGATAAAAGAGTGGATTTGCCACATACAACAATTATAAATATATATTCACCTAACATCAGAATCCTCAAACATGTGAAGCAAATATTGAAAGAATTGAAGGGACAAATAGAGAACACCACAATAATAGCAGGAGACTTCAACATCCTACTTTCAGTAATAGATAGAACAGCCAGAAGATCTGTAAGAAAACAGAGGACTTAAACAACACTATAGATCAATTGGACCTAACAGACACATACAGAACACAGTATCAAACAGCAGCAAAATACATTCTTCTCAAGCACACATGAAACATTCTCTTGTAGAGATCACATGTTAAGTCACAAAAAAACTCAACAAATTTAAGAAGGATGAAATCATACCAAGTATCTTTTCTAACCACAATGGAATGAACTAACAAAGAAATTCATCAAAGTTGCAGGATACAAAATCAACCTGCAAAAGTCAGTTGTATTTCTACACATTAACAATGAACAAAAGGAAAAAAATTAGGAAAACAATCCCATTTACAATAGCATCAAAAAGAATAAAAAATACTTAGAAATAACTGAGGAGGAAAAATAATTGTACAATGCTAACTATAAAACATTGCTGAAAAAAATTAAAGATGCAAATAAATGGAAAGACATCCTCTGTTCATGGATTGGAAGACTTAATATTGTTAAAATATCCTATTACCCAAAGTAGGGATCTGCAGATTCGATGCAATCCCTATCAATATCCCAGTGGTTTTATTTTTCCCCCCCGGAAATAGAAAAGCACTACCCTAAAATTCACATGGAAAAATCAAGGAATCCTGAATTACCAAAACAATCTTGAAAAAGAACAAAATTAAAGGTTTCAGCCTTCCTGGTTTCAAACATATTACAAAAATACAATAATCAAAACAGTGTGGTGCTGGCATAAAGACAGACACATACACCAACAAAACAAAATACAGAGCCCCAAAATAAACTCACATATATGGTCATACGATCTTTGACAAGAGTGCCAAGACTACATAATGGGGAACGGCCTCATCAATCAACATTGTTAGGAAAACTGGATATATACATACAGAAGAAGGAAATTGGACCCTTAGACCACATACAAAATTAGCTCAAAATTTATTAAAGAAAGACTTAAACATAAGACCTAAAACTATAAAATTCCTACCAAAAAAAAAAAAACATACAGAAAAAGCTTCATAACAATGATATTTTTGTATAATGCTGGCACTAACAGAACAGGCAACAAAAGCAGAAATAGGCAAATGGGACTACATCAAACTTAAATTTCTGTACATCAAAGAAAACCATTAATAGAGTGAAAAAGAAACCTATGGGATATAAAAAAAAATCTACAAATCGTATATCTGATAAGGGGTTAATATTCAGAATATGTAAAGAACTCCTACAACTTGACAAAAACAAAAAAAACAAGCAGCCCAATTAAAAAATGGGCAAAAAATCTGAATAGACATTACTCCAAAGACATATAAATGGCCAAAAAGCATACAAAAGCATCACTAATCATTAGAGAAATGCAAATCAAAACCATAACGAAATACCAACTCACATTCATTAGAATGGCCACTATAAAAAGAACAAAAAATAACAAGTATTGACGAGGATGGGGAGAAATTGGAACCCTTGTGCACTGCTGGTAGGAATGTAAGACGAGGCAGCCTCTATGGAAAACAGTATGGAGGTTCCTCAAGTATATAAAAGTAGAATTACCACATGATCCAGTAATACCTCTCCAGGGTATATATCCAAAAGATAGGATTTTGGATACCTAAAAAAAGGATTTTGAAGAAATATCTGCACGCCCGTGTTCATTGGAGCATTATTCAAAATAGCCAAGAGGTGAAAGCAACCCAAATTTCCACCAGCAGATGAATGGATTTTTACAATGTGGTATGTAACTATAATGGAATATTATTCAGCCTTATGAAAGAAAGAAATCATGTCACATATCACGACATGGATGAATCTATAGGTATTATGCTGAGTGAATTAAGCCCATCACAAAAGGATATATAATGTATGATTCCACTTATATGAGCTAACTAGAATAGTTAAAATCATGAAAACAGAAAGTAGAATGATGGCTGCCAAGAGCTGAAGAGAGGAAAAAGTGGAGAGTTGTTGTTTTGTGGATATAGACTTAAGATTTTATAAGATGAAGAAGTCCTAATGATTTTTTACACAACAATGTTAAGAGTGAACACTACTGAACCTATTGTACACTTAAAAGTGGTTAAGAGGATAAATTCTATGTTATGTGTTTTTTTACGACAATTAAAAACAAAACAAAAAAAATTCTAAAAAATTTTTTTCATTAAAAAAAAAAAAAAAAAAACCTACAGGGGCTGGCCCGGTGGCGCACTGCTACAGTGCGCCGCTTGGGAGCATGGCGGCGCTCCCACCGAGGGTTCGGATCCCACATACAGACCAGTTCCCGCTCACTGGCTGAGCGAGGTGCGGACGCGACACCAAGGGTTGCGATCCCGTTGCCGGTCCCAGTCCAGTACGGGCGCGACACTGAGGGTTGCGATCCGTTCCCGGACACGAAAAAAGACAAAAAGAAAAAAAAAAAAAAAACCTACAGTGTACAATTGATCCAAAATTTAATCAATTAAATAATTGATTTTTACAGATGTAGAATAAGTATGACAAAATCTTCATATTTTACAGGAAAAACTAGAAAAGTTTAAAGTTAATGATACCAGTCATCAGGCAGTATAATAGATTAAATTATGAATGTCATTTTAGTAGCAAACTGCCTGCAGTGGACTGAATTATGTTCCTCCAAAACTCACTGAAGTTTGAACTGTGTCCCCCAAGTTTATGTATTAGAATCTTAGCCCCCACTGTGACTGTTAAGAGGGTAGGGTGTGGGAAATCCTATTATGGTAATTGAAAGGTGGAGCCTTAAAGAGGTGATTGGATTGTAGGACCATGTAGTAGTGAATGAATTAAAAACGGTGGTCAGGGGCGTGGCTTTGAGGGCTTTAAAAGAAGAGTCTGTCTTTCTCTCTCTACGCTCCATGTGCTTCCACTGTCTTCTAATGTGAGACCCCTGGGTCACTGTCGTCACCACCAGATGGACTTTGGATTTCCCAGCCTCAGAAACTGTAAGCAATAAACTGCATTTTCTTTATAAATCACCCGATTTCAGGAATTTTGTTATAAGCAACATAAACGGACAAATACACTGCCTGAGGGTTTTGTCCTCTTTTAGAAATTAAAATAGAAAATGTTTCAAGACAAACCTGAATGGTGGGGTTTGTTTTAACTGGTTAATAGCAGAAGACCAGGGAGCATATCTAAATAAAATAAAAGCATTTAAAGTTTTATTGGTTGCCTGTCTATTTTGCTAAGGGAAAGAACTAAAGTGCTAAACATTCCTTTCTATCTCTCTCCTGTTTTTAAAACCTAGCAAGAAACAAATGTAAAATTATGGTGGATACCATAATTTGAGGACAAAGAGTTCAGACAAAAAAAAAAAAAAGAAATTGTAGAGTAAATCATTAAGAACAATAATGAACCTTGCTGCACTGGGATAAATGACAATTAAAATGATTATATATAATCAAGTACAGTTAAAAGAAATTAACAGGAGTATATTCCTTGCAATACTACCTTTGTAAGAATTAAAAAATGAAGAACAAAATTCTTAAGAGGTCTAGAAATCTGACTGAAAAGGAGAAAAATATTAATAAGAATAGGTAGAATGATGGCCTTAACTGCAAGCTAATGAGGAAAGCACAAAATCTGAAAGATTCAAGACCACCTTAACATTTTCTTCAAGCACCATACTCCCTAAATGATCAAGTTAATCATTTCCAATCTTTAGGAATTATATAGTATTTGTTCCTTGTTTCAATACTAATTCTAGTTTTTCAAAACAGAAACTCTTCAGGGACTAAAATATTTTCATACTTATTCTTTAAAGTCTCTACCTATCTCCTTTGACTAAACAAATGAGAACAACTGGAAAGCAGTTTTGAGAACAAATCTGAAATGCACTAAAACTGAAATGTATATATTGGGCTGCATGTTGCTTAGTTTAGACACAAAAATGAAAAAGTATAAATTCATACTGTACAAAAGGAATGGAAAAGTTTCAAAGACAAATGTTTGGTTTAGATGCAGCAAATAAAATTTTTTAAATAAAAGGTTTACACCTATTTTCTAATATAAGAAATAAAATACCTCAATTTTTACATTATGATCAAGAAACAAAACCTAAGAAAGTGGAGTTTAGAAATAATTAATTGTATCATTGAAGACTACAATGGGAAAAATCTCTGGGTATGACCAAATCCAAGTCTGGTAAGATTAGTCTGTGCAGAACAAAATAAAAACCAACCATAAGTTGCTAAAGAAAAGGGAGAAGTCAAAGTTTAAAAAGGTAAAAAAAAAAAAAAAAAAAAAATGGAGAAGAGATTACTGAGAGTAAAACTATAAAACGGTAGCACATGAGAGAGTCCCTTTATGGTAGCAGAACAGTTCAACATCTTGACTGTGGTACGGGTTACATAAATCTACACGGATCAAATTTTGGAGAGCCACACACCCACATGCATGCATGCACACAGAAACACATGCACAAATATACACAATGAATTCTTGTAAAAGCTGGGAAATACTAATAAGGTCTTTAGACTACTTAATAGAATTGTAACAATTCCTTGGCTTTGATACTATACTACAGTTATATAAGATTTCATCATTGGGTGGCTGCTAAGTGAAGAGTTCATAGGATTCTATGTACTGTTGTTGCAACTTCCTACAATTACTTCAAATTAGAAAAAATTTTTTTAAAAATCAAGTAAAGAAAATATGAAAATGCATCAATGCAGAAAACCTCTAGGAATGATGATTATCATTGAAATTATTATTATTTTAGGCAGTTAGTATATGCCAGGCAACAGTGCTATCAAGACAAAAAAATGTAACTCTGTCAAATTAAAAAAAAATTCAAGACGAAAAGAAATCCAACTAAAAACAATAATGCAATATACAAATACTACATTAAAAATATGAATAATAAAGGAAATAATAGAGAAATAATGAAATAATAAAGGAATAATAAATAAAACAACACAAAGCAAAGCCAAACTGTAGAGGACAATTTATACTATGGTGTTTGAACTTAATTCTGTACTCAAAAAAATATCCAAAGGCAATGAAGTGGTTTAATCTAATCTCTGTATATTACAATTAGAGCATAATAGATGATTGACGACATGGGAGAGAAAAGAAGGGAAGAACACTAATAGAAGGAAGTGGAATACTAGAATATTTTCAGGAAAATGATGAGAGACTAGACTAGGACACTGGCAAGAATGTTAAAAGAAACAAGGTTAAGACAAATCCCCAAAACATAATGTTAAAGACAGATAGAAAATACAGCTTCAAGAATGTCATAACCTAAAATAGATTAACATAAATGTTGATATATAAGAATAATAAGTGTCCTGGATGAAAAGGGTTAATTAGTTCTAGAGCATAGCTCTGGAAATAATATACAAGGAGTGCACAGTGTAAATTGTAATAAAAAAAGTTTCCTCCTTACCATTTTTCCTAAGATTACCACTTACAGCTAAATATTAATTATGCAAGAACAGAAATTCTTACTTCTTGTCTTTTCTTAAGATCTTCTTTGGCTGCTCCAAAGCGTTTGGTTAACCTGGCTATCTTGGCCTGGGAAAAAAAAAGAAAAAGATGCAACAGAAATCAAGTGGTATTATAGCATTAAAAAAGAATCTGTACATACATAACAAGAAACCCACAGATAACAGGATCCTCAGAAGACAGCTAAGAACAAAGAAAATAAGGCAAGTTGATTGTAAAAGATATACTTGGAAAATACAGAAAATCATAATGAAAACTGAGATGTGCCTGAACTCAGTACAAATTATAATGAAAACTAAAGTGACCCCCTGAACGCAATACCCAGATATAAACACTCTTAGAAGGTTAACTTGTTGCCTCCTAGAGCTGTGGGTGTTTGCTCACATGTCAGTATATTTCTGAATATGTAAGTTTGTGTTTGTGTTATTTTTTAACATATTTGTAACCACACTTGATTTTCTCACTGAGAATTATAGAGGGCATATCTGTAAATCATAAAAGCTTTCTTGCCAATACTACTTATGGATGTATGTATAGATACTGAACCATTATTGACACACTTTCTTTTCTACTGGATCGGTTGAATGTTTCTCAATGTCCTGCTATTGTCAAATAACACTGCATTAAAAATTTTTGTTTCTCCCTCAGATTATTTTCTTAGGGTACATCACAGAGGTGGAATTCCTGGGACAAAATATATTTTTAAGGTTCTTACTTAAATGCTTCTCAAAGAGGCTTTATTGACACTTTCAAATAGCGATGTTGATGAGTACTCATATATTACTCTTTGAAACACTTAATTTCATATTATTAATCTTTAATAACCTGATAAAAATGTTACCTTGTTAGTTAACATTTATCAGTGAAATATTTAATCATTTGTACTTCTTACATAAACTGCCTGATGACATATTTTGTCCCAATACATATTCAAAGGGAAACAGAGGGGAAAAAAAGCAGAACAAAAAGAAAAAAAAGAACGAAAAATTATGACACTGCCACATGAATATTTGTTTTTTTCTTTTCGGTCACTTACTAAAGCATAGATGTGATATTCAATTGTTGAATTTCAACTGCTGCTGCTGCTGCCATTTTACATTAAACATATTTTCAAGAATATTAAATATAGTTTCTGAGTGTGTTCATGAGGCCTGCCTAAGGAAGTGTTCTTCCAGAGAATTTCTTTTATCCAATATCCATATCATAAAAATGAGAAAATGATATTATTTACTTTGAAAGTTTCTTTTAAAAAGTAGTCACTTCTAAACAAGACCCTATATCTTACAATGTATGAGCACATAAGACAATTAATATGGCCTAGGCAATCAATCAACCTATGACTCCCAAAGGTGAAGATTTTCCTCAGGACTTAGTTATTTATGCTTATTATTAAGGCCCAAGGACATACTGCATAATTTCATGTCCTTAATATGGATTTACCATTCTGGTGACTAAAATTGTTCAAGTAACCTTTTCAGAAAAAGAATATGTGAAGGTATTTTCTGTACCCCAACTTATGCAAGAATATCTTTCACTTTTTTTTTAGTCAGATTATCTATGTGGGTATTATATAAATTGCATAGTATTTATAGTATTACTATTTTATTTTTACTTGAAAATGAAAAATTAAAAAAAATCATTTTGTATATGTTATGTATATGGGAAAAGGTCTAGAAGGATACATACCAAAAAAAAGTGGTTACCTCTGGAGGCCAGGATTGGTAGGTAGTGGGGGAGAAGGTAAAGAGAAGGACTTAGCTTTCACATCACATATACCTGTAGTATTCAAATTTTTTTTTTTTTTTTTTTTCTTTTGTCTTTTTTCCGTGTCCGGCAACGGATCGCAACCCTCAGTGTTGCCCCCGTACCGGACCGGGGACCAGCAACGGGATTGCAACCCTCGGCGTTGCTCCCGCGCCTCGCTCAGCCAGTGAGCGGGAGCCGGTCTGTATGTGGGATCCGAACCCTCGGACGGGAGCGCCGCCGCGCTTCCCAAGCGGCGCACTATCCAGTGCGCCACCGGGCCGGCCCCGTATTCAAATTATTTTTAAGAAGGAATTACCACTTAAAGAAATTAAGCCAGTAGCAGAGAAAAAAAAGTGTTGGACACTGATTTACTGTCTTCTAATATTTAATATTATAAAAAAGAAATCAAAGAGCAGCCTTTAGTTGTTTTTACACAGGAAACTATACAATTCTTTTATATTATTAAAATTCAAAATATTTGCCATAATATTTCGAAGAATGGATCTCTATCATGGCAAGTGTTCTGTGAGACTTGTAAAAAATGTATGAACAAGTCATTTTTGTAAGATCAGGAAAGTTTCTATTATTATGTCTCTGTTTACTACTTCTATTTCATTTGTTCTTGGTTTCTTCCTTAAGTCTATGTAAAATGTCACAATGATAGCTCTTTAACTATAAGTCACATAAATTGCTCGAAGTCAGATACATTGGGTCTTGTTTAACAAACTAGACAAATCAGGAATTTCTTTGCATATGTACCAAGGAACCTCTTAGGAAATAACTCTATCTTAAGAGTTAATAATGCATCAAGTTTGACCTGACAACGAAATATTAGTACTCAAAAAAAGCTAGTAAAATAAAAAGACATAGTAAGGAAGCTCAGGCATTGGATTCACTAGATAAAGACTTACTGGACAAATTGACTGTTTTAAATCTGATCAAAAAAGCTAAAAAAAGCCACAGACAAAAAACTAAAATAATGGCCGGCCCGGTGGCGCACTGGAAAAACTAAAATAAAAAATAGAAAAAAGATGTCTCAATAATACAGAATATCAGTAAAGAGATTGAAATTATATAAAGAAAACAACTAGAAATTCTAGAACTGAAAAGTACAATAACTGAAATTTAATGGAGGGATTCAACAGTAAATCTGAACAAGATTAACCTATCAAGAAGCAGAATTATGGAGGGTTAGAAATCTTGATTCTCATTTAAGAATAGGGTTTTTAGATAAATGCATGTAAGGGGCAAGAGCCCTCAGGTAGGAAGTGATAGCCTATAGCCAGAGGGCAAAAGCCCATCTAATCAGCTCTAATCACTACTTAGTGATTAATTAGTTTAATTAGTTAATAGTTTAATAATTATAGAGCTAACAGGTGGTTGTCATACTGATCCTGTTAAGAATTGCTGAAGGGAAAGATGTGAAAAAAATGTTTGCTAGGGACAAGCTGTCTGTTGGGGAGAATTTTAGAAATAATTGTACTTAGATTTTATCATAAGAATGTAACTTTTGCTTAAGGAGAGTTTATACTTTAGATAATGAGCCAGTTTGACCAACTTAGCTTTTTACTAATTGTACTTTGAAATGTCACATTGTTAATTTTACTGATGTTAGTAGTTTCCACTGCGTAAGCTATACTTAGCCATAGATAACTTTTGAAACACTGACCATGTCCTTGTGTCATTTTGTAATGATTGAATCAACTGAATTTTCTTGTGAAACTTCCTTGTCTTTACAATAAAAAACAGAAGCTAACTGAATGGCTACTGTGCCCAGTTTTCTCTGGGATACAGACCTTCTGGCTTCTCAATGCATTCACGGTGCTTTGAGTAATCCTTTTTTCGTCTCCATTATACAATGAGATGTGTAACACAGAATTTTATATACTAATGAAAATAAGTAGGTATTAATTCAAAGTCAATCATTACAAAGTTAAGATGTTAAGTGTACTCCCCAGGGTAACAACTAAGGAAAAAAACTAAAAAATATATAGAAAGAAAAAAAGGGAACCAAAATGATACACTAGAAAAAAATCAATATCAAAAGAAATCAGTAATGGAGGAATTGAGGAACAAAAAAGGTATAAGACATACAGAAGAAAAATAAAATGGCAGAAGTCTTTACTTATCAGTAACTACCTTAAATATAAATACATTAAAGTCTCCAATTAAAAGGTAGAGATTGGCAGAACAAATAATAAATTATAACTCAACTACATCCTGTCTATAAGACTTAATCAAGATTTAAAACTTTTGTGCATGAAAGGACATTATCAGGAAATTGAAACAACTTACAGAATGAGGAACAATATTTGCAAATTATATATCTGATAAGAGTAAGAGTTTAATGTCCAGAATGTATAAAGAACTCTTATAACGCAAAAGCCAAAAAACCCAAATTGAAAACTTCACACCACTAAGAGATATAATTATAAAAAACAAGGAAAAAAAAAACAGAAAATAAGTGTTGATGAGGATGTGGAGAAATGACACCCTCACACATTGTTGGTGGGAATGTAAAATGGTGTAGCTGTCCTGGAAAACAATTGGGTGGTACTTCAATAATATGACCCACAATTCCACATTGAGGTACATGCCTAAGATTTGAAATCAGGCACTCAAATAGATACCTGTACACAAATGATCACAGTGACATATTCACAACAACCAGAAGTGGAAATAATTCAAATGCCTATCAATGGATGAATGCAAGTTAAATAAAATGGTGTGTGTGTGTGTGTGTGTGTGTGTGTGTGTATATATATATATATATATATATATATATATATATATATATACACACACACACATAATGAAATATTATTTAGCCATAAAAAAGAACAAAGTTCTGATGCCCACTACAACATGGATGAACCTGGAAAATATTGTGCTGAGGAAAAGAGACCAAACACAAAGGTTACATATTATAAGATCCCACTCATATGAAATATGCAAAAAAAGTAAATCAATAGAAACATGAAACAGATTACTGGTTGCCAATGGCTAGGGGAGGGGTAAATGAGAAGTGACTAATGAGTACAAGGTTTCCTTCTGAGTTGACAAAAATGTTTTAGAACTAGATAGAGATGATGGTTGTACAAAGTTGTGAATGTACTAAATGCTGATGAATTATACACTTCCAAATAGTTATTTTGTTCTCTGAATTTTATTTACACAAAAAAACAAAATATTGGAACAACACAGAATGAGATGGGAACTAAATTGGGCTCGGTAACATTTAAATAAATAGCATGGTGAAGGCAGATCATTACAGTGAGTGAATAGAGGCAATAATATGAAGTCGAAAGCTAAATATAAAAATACTATGAACATTAATACTCTGGAGGATCATGAAGCAATTGGTGGAAAAAAGTGGACAGAACAATAGGGGATCCAAATGAAAAATCAAACAAATAAATACTGGTTTGACCGGTAAACACAATTGAGGAATATGGACTACACGGAAGAGAATAAGGAAAGCAATATTTTAGAAAGATTAGTACAATGCTTCAGAAGGACCAACAAGAACTTAAAAACTAATACCTGCACGGTCATGTAAAAGGCTCTTACTATAATCAAGGAATTGGGTCATGATGGCCTAGTAGAAAGTGACAGGAAACAGATAGAATTTTAGGAAAGAAAGAAACTGTAATTTGGCAACTCACTATGCATGGGAAATGACTGAGAGGGACTGGTTTCCATGAACTCAAGAACTGTCAATAAGAGAATCAATAAGAAGATTTTCCTTCAAGATTTTTCCAAGAATTCAGAAATTGCCAGTAAGGGGAAATATGGAAAAGGAGATTCATTTGTAGAGAGGATGACTGGTTTGGTGTTGGAAAGATTCAGAATCTGAGGCTACAAAGAAACGTACAAGAGTAAATGTTTACTAAATGTTAAGAGATCTGGACTTTGTAGCTTAAGTGAGAATATGGAAGTCAAAAACTCAGGTTTTAAAAATACAAAATCATAGTTGCACCCAAGGGACTGATAAGAAACAACAAATGAAATTATTTTTTAAATCTTCAGACATTTTCAGTTTTAATTCAAAATCCTCACAGTACTAATAAAATGGAGTTTAATAATTAGATAACATTATCACTATAGAAAGACCCATTAAAGGTGAGAAATAGGACTAGGTATTGTCCTAAATGGAGCTGCACAAAATTACTACACAGCCTTGTTTTTAATAAAGTCTCACATAAAATAAAATTAACAGTATAAACCAAGAAAATAATTTTAGGCCTAGGAGATATAATACACCTAATTTCTAGTCATATTTGGCTGCAATTTGGTTTATAACTGTGAAAAAAGATTTAACTTTGATGGACCACTTTCCCCTAATTTATAAAATAAGGCTCTCTAAGTGGTTTACAATTCAGCATCTTTAGAATATGCCCATATTTAAAATAGCTTAATAGGAACCATATATTTACTTATGAAAGAATGAATATACTGATTAAAATTTCCAGTTTCTCAGCTGTGGAATAAAATAGATTACCATATCATGTTACTATGTGCTCATTTCAGTGGACCAGAAGCTCTGGCATTGTATGATAATATATAGCTATAACTAAAAAAAGAAAAGTAGCAATTATTAACAAATATGTATTAGTAAACTAATATCTTTAAAGCACAAGATCCACGGGAGGAAGTACATTAATATTAAAAAAAAAAAAAAAATAGGGGCTGGCCGATTAGCTCAGTAGGTTAAAGCTCAGTGTTGTAACACGAAGGTCAAGGGTTTGGATCCTAGAAACTGTAAGCCACCAAAACATATATATATGTTTTAATTATTAAATATATATATATATATATATATATATATATATATATAAAGCCCTCACAAATAATATTTAGTACTTATTATGGCATGCTAGATGCCAAGCTTTCTTTAGTAACTAAAAAAAAAATAATTGAGAAGCATTAAATTACATAATCTCCGAGTTTCTGTTAAGGGTTAAAATGGTTAAAATGTATCCCCTAATGGTTTGTATTGAAATCTAAACCTTCAATATCTCAGAATATGACCTTATTTGGAAATAGGGTCTTTGCAGAGGTAATTACTTAAGATGAGGATATACTAAGTAGGGAGGGGTACCAATCCAACATGACTGGTATCCATCTAAAAAGGGGAAATTTGTATACACATACACATACAGGAACAACACCATGTGAAGATAAAGCCAGAGACTGGGGGTGATGCTTCAACAAGGCAAGAAGCATCAAAAATTGTCAACAAACAGAAGCTAGAAGAGAGGCATAGAACAGATTCTAGTACACAGCACAGCCTGGCAAAAGAACCAATCCTACTGACACCTTGATCTTGGACTTCCAGCCTTCAGCAGAACTATGAGACAATACATTTCTGTTGTTCAAGCCACCGAGTTTATGGTACTTTTTTTTATGGCAGCCCTAGCAAACTAATACAGGCTCCTTTTACTCTGATAGTTAGAATTTATATGTATTTTATAGTCAGCTTCAAATACATATCCCAGAAAACAAATTATAACAATGATGACACATAGGGTATATAATTCAGGTCAGCATACAAACCTGTAGCTCAGTAAGAACTGTTTTATGTCTCTTGTTACATTCAATCTTTTCCACTCGTGTTTTTAATTCTGCCAAAGTCTTATCAAATACAGCACACTGTAGGGCACACAATTTTTCTTCCAGCAACCACTGTATAACCTAAAGAAATATAATTCGTTATGCAAAGAAGGCGTTTCAGTAAGCAGCAAACAGTAAATATTCTAAAGTAATGATAAGATAATAATTAATGTATTAACTAATTTAATTAATAAAACATGTTGAAATCCTTAACACAATGCTATCTGTTGGAAGTTCTCCACTTCTACATATCTAATGTCGACCTCAACAGGGTAATATATACTAAAAATAGAAAATTTCCAGAGGGTGAAATATTGAAACTAATTTGAAGCTTTAATATTTTCTTCCCATACTCCCTTATCATGTTCAAACTACTTACAGGAAATGAGTAAAAGGAACGGACATTTTTAAAATTTCTAATCTGTTACAGATTGATATTTTTGTGAGACACACTAAGAATGTCATTGCAATACCAACTTTCTATAAAGTATTTCTAAATGCCTACTCAAAATTTCCACATTATCTCTTTATAGACCCACAACAACCAGGGCCAAACCTGAGTAACATGACTCTAGAGAAATAAACTCTCAGTACACATAAAAGTTTTCAAAATTCTTTCACATAGGTACTTCAGGAATTCTAACAGCTCTGTAAAACTGAATAAGATTATCATCTTCATATGTCAAAGAAAAATAAAAACTTGGGGGGGAAAGCCACATTTTACTGCCTCACTATTTATTTTTCTAGAACGTGCAGACATTTGTACTGTATCTTAGTGGAAGAATCTTGGTCTAAAACCTTGATTGTTTAAAATTTCATCATTAAATATATAAGACCTTGAAAAACCAGTATCACCTGAGTGTCATATTCCTCTCTAAAAACTGCATTTGTTATAAATGTCTGAGAACACATTTTTAAAAATATATAAAATACTGAATATCTTCATTCATTATCCCCAGTCTAACAGATACAGGGGGAGGTTTTCGAAGTCTGTAGTTTATTTCCCTCCCTAGTCCTTCTAAAGCCCTGCCCCAACCATTGTTAATACTAATCCTAAAGCACGTAACAAAAATTTTAGAATGTATAGACTTAAAACCAGCTTATTATAAAGATTAAAGTGTCAATGTATAAAACTCTCATGTTTCCTTTTCACTGTAAGACACAGGTCAGTATGGGGAAAAAAAAAGAAAAGCTGAAAAACAATATTCTTTTTTTTTTTTTTTTTTTTAAAAAATGACCAGTAAGGGGATCTTAACCCTTGGCTTGGGGTTGTCAGCACCACGCTCTCCCAAGTGAGCTAACTGGCCATCCCTATTTGGGATCCGAACCCGTGGCCTTGGTGTTATCAGCACCACACTCTCCCGAGTGAGCCACGGGCCGGCCCTCGGTTTTGTTAATAAAGCAAATAAGGAAGTCACCATATCTCCCTTCCATTTTGATAATCACTACCATCTCTAAAAAAAGTTATGTAGCCCAAAAGAAGTCAGAAGGAATTTTAAAATTAAATGATCAATGATAATAACAGACTTTACAAGCTCAACCACTTTCTTCAAGTTCTCTCTTTCTGTGATAAACTGGATATGTCAGTAAAATACAGAATAATGTCAAAAACCTAGAAGAATAAAGACAGTTTTGCTTTTTATTCAATATAGTTTTTAACTTATAATCAACAACACCTTTTGAAGTTTCTGGTTAATGTCTCCTTTGGCTGTAATCTTTACTTGAAATTCTGCCTCATATTCTTCTTCCATATATCGACGACGTTTGGACTGTACATTATCCATGTCCTCTGATTTAGAACGTTTTCTTCTGGAAAATTCATCTGAGAACAAAAACCACAACGATCAGTTAGGTGTTTTTATTATAGACCTTGATGCCTATTCTCCATCCTCAGTAAAATAATGTTTCTATCACAATAACATTCTTTACCAATTACTTCATGAACTGTTTTTGAGACTAGAAAAGTAGACAGATAGCTTTTAGCTGTAAATTTAAAATTATTTTCAATTTGCTAAATAAGAACTTCCCAATAAATAAGCAATGTACACTATAAACTTAGAATATTCTTTCCTTGAAATCTTCATATTAAGATAGAGAATTGCCTGACAATTGTGTTATGCAGAAGGTAGAAGAAAATCAACTTATTTTTATTCTCTTTGCTAAATTTCACAGTGCACATGACTCCTCTAACAAAATCCAGTGTTCTCATGGCACAGATGTCTAATCTAACAACAGTGCATAGCTTTAATGATTTAATTCTTCCTCCTCAGTAAATAGAGGAAAAATTTTACTTAACCATGAGCCTTAGGAAAATAGCACAAGTTATTCTTAACATATCCTAATGAATTTCAAATATATAAAAAAAATAAATAAAATTAATGTTATTACATGAGAGTACTTCACAAAGTTCACAGAAAGGGCTGGCTGCTTAGCTCAGCCAGTTAGAGTGTGGTGTTAATAACACCAAGGTCAAGGGTTGGAATACCCATACCAGCCAGCCACAGAGGGAAAAAAAAAAAAAAAGATAAAATAAAATTCTTCAAAAAAATACAAAAAAAATTTTTAAAGTTCATGGAAAAATTTAATTAAAAGATCATATGAATCCTTCCATGAACTTTTTGAAGAGCCCATAAAAGTACATTTGGTAAACACCAAACATTCAAAGACTTTCACTTAGAAAATTTCTATTTTGAATATTGTTAACATTCATGAGATCATAAGCAAATTTTATCTAATTTCTTTTCCAATATCTAAACTAATTAAAACACTAAAATCTCCACACTTTTTAAAGGCATATGCCCTTATGTGGCCATACCTATCCCTCACCGTCTCACTCTATACCTGTATCTATATGCCAATTTTTAACCCAGCTCTATTCTGCAACTTCTCTTATAATCATAACTTACCCATGGTCAAACATGGAGAGCAGCATGACGGGAAGAACCCAGATTTCCTGACTTGTAGTCTTGTAATCTTTCTACAAACCTAACAACACTCAGCCTCATCATTTCCCCTTCCCACGAAGCTTAAGAACCTTAAGTAGACTGAAACATATACTTCCATTCACTTTCATCAGCCCAGACAAAACTGTTATGAAGTCCCATTCTCCAAACCAATCTAAAACAATCCATCAAGACACTCACACAGTACCTTAGTAAATTTTAAGCCTAAATCTTGTTGAACAATGTAAAATATAAATAAACAAAAAAACTGAAGTATATGAAATAATACTTTCAAACATCGCAGTTAGCCATCAACAAAATGATTTCATTGCGGCTTACTTAAATTGCAAAATTTTACAATCATCTCATGGGCACAAAAGGTTATTCTATCACCTTAAAAGCAGAAATAATGAATTATTATTTTTCAAACTAGTTCAAGTTTGTCTGTACTTGCATACTTTTTTCAGAAGGTCTTTCATCTTCTTCATGTATTACTTGCTCTTCTTCCTCGGGTTTGCTGTCCTTGTCATTGTTTTCTACTTCTGCTGTAACAAACAGAAAAGGAAATTCTACTTCCATTGAAATTCATAACAGCTCATAGTTTACCTTTTTGGTAACTACTCAATTACCAAACTAACCTGTCATGAAATCAAGAGTCCCAAAATATAAAATGAGAGGAATAAAAAGGTGCATTGACTTGGTCAAAAATGAATGACCAAGTTAACTTTCAACTGTTCTGCAATTCATAATAAATAAAAAAAATAGTAGATTTTAAAACAAAGAATCTTATTTAGTAATTTTCTGTCAACAATAAGATTAATAAAATGTGAAACAATTACTGTAAAACACTTAGATTCCTCTTTATTTTTTTTTCCATTTAGATTCCTTCACATTCAGTTATTAGAACTAAAATAATGGCTGTGACAATTCAAACTGCCAAATCCAAAACACCTAATATTGTGATCAGACAGGCTGAATCATTAAGGTATTTTAATGGTTACGGGATAGTTTGTTAAGTGAGGAATAAAAAAGCTACCTAAACTACAAAAACCTTACTTAAAAATAATACCTACTTTGATAATAGTGAAAACAACTGAGCTAGGTGTTTGATATATGTTACTTCATAGCTTCAATATAATCCTACACTGTAAACAGCATTTTTGTCATTATATAGATAAGAAAAGTACTGTTCAGAAATGTTTATGCAATTTTCATGAGGCATATAAAGTATAACAATTAAGAAGCTCTACCAAAAATATTACTAAGAATGTCTATATAATTATAACAAATAAAACCCCAGAAGTACCAGAAATGGCCTTTGGTCAATCAATTTATATCTCCTCAACTAGCTTAATCAGTAAATGTAAGATAACGGGGCTACAATAACTCACTAATATGCTTCTATTTTTCCCCTTACATCACTGCAACTGGCTTCAATAAAGCATGCTATGGTTCATCATATTCTGCAACTAATAGTAAATAAGCAATTACAAGGTATATAGCATTATATCAAGATTTTGATATGACATTTCTTATCCATACAACAGGGTTTTAGTCACAACAGAACCAATAGCGGGAGTCAAGAGTAAAACAATTTAAAAGACCTTTTAGCTGCAAATAGGCAAAGACAGAATCATTGATGAACCTATTAAGGCTCTACAAATACCTTTTTCACACTAAGATAAAATAAAACTAACACGGTACATAAAGATTAGTAAACAACTTTTGAACTTTAAAATAAATGAGTACTGGGCTGGCCCATGGCTCACTCGGGAGAGTGCGCTGCTGATAACACCAAGGCCATGTGTTCGGATCCTATATAGGGATGGCCGGTTAGCTCACTGGCTGAGCGTGGTGCTGACAACACCAAGCCAAGGGCTAAGATCCCCTTACCAGTCATCTTTTAAAAAAATAAATAAAAAATAAAATAAAATAAATGAGTATTAAAAAATTAACTTTCCATTTACTACACTTTGCACTTTATGTTTGAAGATCTCATCTCTCAACCCGTTTCAATGAAATAAAAATGTTTTTGCTTTCTTGTAGATAAATCTCAAAGTCATTACAACACATTTATTTCTATAAATATTTTTCCAAATCTTCCTGATTTTAATACTGAGGGTTGAGACTCCTGAGATTCCTAGTCCCCAGAGACACAGAGTAATTGGATTGCTTAAGATAAAAGGTTTACATAATCTTTACTTAGCAATTCCTCACATCAATCAAAGCATAAAATTAGTCATGGCTCCAATGAGGATAACTGCAAGCCAGAGCATCCAGAACACAGCAGACTCAATTGGCCTGGTTTGGTCCGTCTCTTTTATGCACATGTTAGCTTGCTCTTCTCTTACAGATATGTCAACCTTAACTTGAGATTCCTTCATTTTACTCAAAAACCTCCTCCTATCATCCATTCCCATTTTCTAGATATGCCAAGCATATATAATGGATTCCCAACACTTAAAAATCAAAATACTCATTAAGATGTGAGAACAAATTCATAGAATTAAAATTTTTGCTAAAGTTTTATGAAATGGAAAGAACTTGGGATAAGCAAAATGGTATTAAAAGATTCTACAGAGAGGGGTAAGGCCCCATATTTAATATTTTTGTCCACAAATCCTCCAGAGAATCTACAGTGGACCTCGTTCAACCCAGAATAACAATCAAAAAGCACTTGTACACAGACATTAAAAATTAGTCATAAATTAAGAAACTGATGAAGGGAACACCTGAGTAAGTATAAAGCAACACAAATGACATGCAACAGGTTTTACTGCCATATAAAGAGAACATAGTACAGTTTAAGAACCAATGAAGAAATCATACTTAAACCCACAATACACAAAATTTCCTTTAGAGGAAGGGAAAAAGACACAAAACAAATTTTAGTTACCAGCTAAGAAATTAAACCTATTTCTAAACTTACTCTGCTAATAGCATACCATCAGACTAAAGTCTTAAGGCAAGTAACCAAAAATGTACCCAACTTTGAATTTTCAAAGTTTGCACCATAAATGGCTTAATATTCACCTCTCTGTATTTAACAGCATTGTGTGGGATGATGTGCAAAATCAAGATTGTAACATAAAAAACTGTATAAACTCATTAAATCATAAGCTGCAATATGCTACGACTTTCTTTTCTCATACAAACTACCATAAGGCTTTTTTAAGAACTAGCCCCATGACACACAATAAGTATTTACTGAATGAAGTTCAGCCTGAACACTGTTACCTATTATCTTTCAAAAATGTAAATTTCATAATATCATTCTCCTCTGCTTGAAATTCTTCAGTGGCTTCCCAGTGCTATCAAAGTGCTTTAGCATCATAACCAAGGTCCTCCGTGATATACTTCTCTTACATTATCAATTATTCTTTCACTCTACAAATATTTACTGAGCACTTACTGTGTGCCAGGTACTATTTTGGCCTGATGATATATATGGCTCAAAGCAGGGGAGATAGAAGTTATGAACTAGATTCTAGATTTATTCCAAACATAATGTCAACAGGATTTCCTGATAGACTGGATAAGGGTGTATGAGAGAAAAAATAAGAATGGTTCCAAGGTTTTTGGCCTGAGGAAGTAGGACAGAATTGCCATTACAAAGAATTACACTCATTAAAACCCTATGTTATAAAGATATTGAAAGGCAAGGCTTCCCTGAATATATTTTGTATTCTTATAAAGTTACCCCTTTCTAACACTCCCAGAATGCCAATTTAACCAATTTAACATATTCACGGCCTTGTATTTAATGGCCTATAAGTTAATTCTTGTCTGCATCCTGAGGGCAAGTACTAAACTTTATCCTCAAATCCCCAGAACCAAGAAGGATCTGACCTTTCTCTACATATAGGTTTAGTGAATGCTCTTGAGAAATGAAAAGTCATCCTTTAATAAGAAAAAAATCTCTATCTCCAAAAACTGGTATGATACATTGGGGGAAAAATTTTCCTCTGTGTCTCCTAGGCCTGCCTCCTATTTTTTTCTTTGAATAAACTAGAAAACACATGCTGTGTGTGTTTCATGCTAGCAAGATCACTCCTCTCATATCTTAAGTCTAAGAGACCTAACACAATGGGAACAAAAAGGTATTCATGCCGGTCTAAGAGAGACTGAGAAGGTTTCATACAGGAATAATGGTTTGAGTTTGACCACGAGAGCAAAGTAGGATTTTTCTTATTCTCCTTTTTTTGAGGAATAATAAAAAAAGATGAGAGAGGTAGCTATTGAACAAATCATGAAGTTTATATACTTTTCATATAAGAAGTTTGGTGTTAACCTAAAAGTAACAGGGATCTAATGAAAGAGAGGGACATAATCAAATCAAAGAGATCTGAATTACAGGGAGACCTATCAAAAGATGAGGGGGGGGGGCCGGCCTGTGGCTCACTCGGTAGAGTGCGGTGCTGATAACACCAAGGCCACGGGTTCGGATCCCATATAGGGATGGCCGGTTCGCTCACTGGCTGAGCGTGGTGCTTACAACACCAAGTCAAGGGTTAAGATCCCCTTACCGGTCATCTTTTAAAAAAAAAGATGAGGGGGAAGAGAATAGGCAGGGTAGAATCAAGAGGAATGAAGAAGTAAACTGGCAGTCTTTATCAAACAGATAATAAGACTTCAGGGTTTCTGGCTTCCAACAATGGTGGTCTCATTCCCCGAACAAAGAACATTTAAAAAAAAAAGATTTCACTGGGAAGATTAATTGAAAATATTGTTACACTTGTATCCAATAAATTAAATTACTAAGTTATTTGTTCACTAAGTGATAGCAAAAAAGAACAATTGCTAGAATTCTGACCAATTAATTAATTAATTAATAACTTAAATTGTTCTCTCAGTGTTATGCTGATCCATCCTATCTCTATTTCCAGACTATCAGCCATACAAGCAAAGAACATATTTTCTACTTATTTTATCTCCCTTTTCATTTAGCACTAAGCACAATGCTGCGCACAGAATGGGTACTTTGTAATTCTGAATTCTATGAAGTTAAGAATCTACAAATTTAAGAAATCCTTCTATAGAGTCACCACCATTCAACAGTCTCTGAAAACTTTTTCAACTAAAAGAAATTAAAAACTTTATAAGAATTTTTTATTAAACAGTTCATTAAAGCTAATAAAAATCTCTATGAAGTTAAGAATCTACAAATTTAAGAAATCCTTCTATAGAGTCACCACCATTCAACATTCTCTGAAAACTTTTTCAACTAAAAGAAATTAAAAACTTTATAAGAATTTTTTATTAAACAGTTCATTAAAGCTAATAAAAATCTTAAAAAAAAAAAAAAAAAGCTAATAAAAATCTTTAAAATTTAAATAATCTGCTAACCTGGAGAGCATGTTTCATTTTGTGATATAACTTCAGACTCATCTTTTTCACCCGAAATATCCTCTTCATCAGAGAGAACCAAAAAGGCTTCTTTGGGCAAACTCTCACTACTTTCTTGTTTAGATGGAGAACCAAAAGAACCTTCCATCTTCTCTTCCAAATCTGGATTTGTCTCCTCAATTCGAAGGAGAGAAGTTTTAGAAAAGCAAGGAAGTTCATCCTCAGCAGGTGCAAGCTTTTCCAAAATAGGAATGATCTCATCTGTCTCCATTGAATCTGTACTTTTCAAGATATTCTCATTTTTGTCATCTTTTATAACATTTTCACTAATGGTTTCTACAAGGTCTGCAGAATTTTCATCTTCATTCTTTTCACTTTGGTCAATTTCCATACTGCTAGATATAGCCTCTTCTCCAATAGCAAGCTCTGTGAAAGTATCTTCCTCTACCATCTTTTCATTTTCAGGAGGTAGATCTGAACTAATAGTTGTATCATCTGTTTCTTGAGTTTCTTCATTAGCATCAATATTACTATCAGATTTATTTTTCTCATCAAATGAGTCCTTACTTTGAATTTGGTCTAACTTTTCATCACCCCCATTTTTTTCAAGAAAATCATCATCTTTATTGCTACTCAGCTCTGTATTGTCAGTTTCGGGAACGGGTTCACAGACTGGTACAGAACCGGTTTCAAAGGCGGGATCAAAAGCTGATTCAGAAGTCAGTTCACCAGAGGCCAGTTCATCAGAGGCCAGCTCACCAGAAGCCAGATCACCAGAGGCTGGTCCATCAGAAGCCGGATCATCTGAGGCTGGATCATCAGAAACCAGATCACCACAGGCTGGATCACCAGAGGACAGATCACCAGACACTGATGCTCTAGTGTCAAGATCACCAGAGGTCAGAACACCAGAGTCTTGATCATCAGAGGCATAATCATCAGATGCCAGTTTGCTAGAGGCCACTTCACCAGAGACTGGTTCACCAGAGACAGAATCACCAGAGGCAGGACCACCAGAGGCAGGACCACCAGAGGCAGGATCACAAGAGGCAGGATCACCAGAAGCATGATCACCAGAGATGGGATCTCCAGAGGAGGGATCCTCAGAGGTGGGATTACCAGAGGTGGGATCACCAGAGGGATCACCAGTGGCAGAATCACCCAAGGCCAGTACTCCAGAGGCTAGATCTCCAGCAGACAGATCATCAGAGGCTGGATCATCACAAGCTGGTTCAGTAATCAGTTTAGAGACTGCTTCAGGGGTTATATTATTAGGAGACAAAGGTGCACAATTTAAATCATTATCCTGCTTGTTTTTTACATTAATATTTAGGACACAGGGTGTTTCTTTCCATTCTGTTTTACTTTCTTCAGTGTCAAAACATATCTCTTCAATGCCATTTACCTCTTCCTTGTCTTTAATATAATCCATATTTTCCAGAGGTGAGGTAGTGTCCAAATCTCCATTTTCATGGTTGCCATTTAAAAGCTTGACATCAGTTTTCAGCAATTCTTCTTTGACCTTGTACACTGCTTCAAGTTGTTGACGATCACTCACTCTCATTGTTTTTCGAGCCTTAAAGACTTTTTTCTGAGGTTCTTCTATACTGTCCATTTTGAATCTTTAAAAAAAGAAAGAAAGAGTTTAATAATTGAAACAGAAGCCACCTAATTATAGGCTTACTGAAAAATAAATCTTATAAGAGAAGCAAGCAGCACAATTCATGTAATTTTGAAAAAATGAAATATAGAAAACTTAATACTTGCTGTGTTGATTTTCATATTCACTAGATTTATGTAATAAAAAATGGTAACAAGTACAGTCCATACTAGAAGACCAACTACTAGAAACTTATTTTTTTTAAAAAAAAAAAAAAGACTAGTTTTCATTCTCAATATGAAGTTCGCAGAGTCTGGAGGAGATACGAAACTATAAAAAAAAAAAAAAAGAAAAGAAAAGAAAAGCAGATGAATAGTAGATGAAGAAATGAGAGAGAAAAATAAAAATGCAAGAATAAAAGCAATAAGCAAATGAAAAAGAGGTAAATAGAAAGAAAAAGAAGGGAAAATTAAGGAATAGTAATGAAAGATTATATTTGCAACCAGACATATCTACACTGACAGAACTGTACATACATTAACATACATTACCATCAAGAAAGACAACTCACACATAATAGAAAGAAAATATTTGTAAAGCATATATCTGATAAGAGACTTATATCCAGAATATATAAAAACTGTTACAATTCAATAAAAAAAAGATAACCCAATTTAAAAATGGGCAAAGGACTTGAACAGTCATTTCTACAAATAAGCCAATAAGCCAATGGTCTATAGACAATAAACATGAAAAGATGCTCAACATCATTAGTCATCAGGGAAATGCAAATCAAAACCACAATGAGACAACACTTCATGCACACCAGGACAGCTATAATCAAAGAGAATAATGAGTGTTGGCAAAAATGTGGAGAATTTAGAACCCTCATACAATACTGGTGGGATTATAAAATGGTGCAGCAGCTTTGGAAAACAGTTGGGCAGTTCCTCAACAGGTTAAACATGGCATGCCATACAACCCAGCAATTCTACTCCTAGGTATATACCCAGGAGAATAAAGACAGATGTCCATGCAAAAACTGTATACAAGTGCTCAAAGCAGCATTACTCATAATAGCCCAAAACTGGACACCATCCAAATGTCTAGCAACTGATGAGTGGATAAATAAAATGTGGAATTATCCATTCAATAGAATATTATTCAGCCATAAGAAGGAGTGAAGATACACACTACAACATGGATGAACCTTGAAAACACGGTGAGTGAAAGAAGCCAGTCATAAAAGGCCAGACACTGAGTGATCCCATTTATATGAAACATCCAGAACAGGCAAATCTATAGAGATTGAAAGTAGATTAGTGATTGCCTGGGGCTGGAGAATTTGGGAGGAAATGAGAGGTGGCTCTTACAGGGTATAGGATTTCCTTATGGAGTAATAAAATGTTCTAACATTGATTGTGGTGATGATTACCTAACTGTGAATATGCTAAAAACCACTGAATTATATACTGTAAATGGGTGATTTATGTGGTTATATCTCAGTAAAACTGTTTCAAGAAAAGAAAAATAAAGTCAAAATATATATATATATATTGAAATGTGTTCTCTTTTTTGGTAAGTTTTGCTAAAGTTTTATCAATTCTACTTATTTATCAAAAAACAAACTTTTATTTTGACTGATGTTTGTTTTTCCATCTGCTTTCTAGTGTCACTGATTTCTCCTCTAATACTTATTTCTTTTCTCTTACTTTTTTGAAAGGTTTAATTTACCATCTTTTTCCCTGAGGTTCAATCTTAGTCATTAGTTTTTAATCTTTCCTCTTTTGTAATGAACACATATAAAGCTATAAATCTCCCTCTAAGAACTGCTTTAGCTGCATCTCATATTTTGATGTGTCATATTTTCATTATTATTCTGTTAAAATATCTTCTAATTTCCATTGTAATTTCTTCTTTCATCTACAAGTTATTTAGAAGTATTTCTTTAAAAGGTTTATGACCAAGTGAAACTCATTTCAAAAAAATACAAGGATAGTTTCACATCAAAAAAATCAAGCAATGTCAATCATGAGGAAGTCATGAAGCATTCTGGCTTTATTTCATGCCAATTACAGTGCCCAATTGACAAGTTTTGCCTAAACTGAATGAATGTCTGGTACCAGGCTGTTATTGGTTGAATTATACAACCCCCCCCCCCCCGCAAAAGACATACTGAAGTCCTAAGCCTCAGTATCTCAAAATGTGACCTTGTTTGGATAGGGCCTTTACAGAGGTAATCAAGTTAAAATAAGGTTGTTAGAGTGGATCCTAATCCAATATTATTGCCATCCTCATAAAAAGATGAAAATTTGGACACAGACAGACAGGCACACAGGGAGAACATCATGTGAAGACTGGAATCACATTGCCACAAGCCAAGGAACTACCAGAAGCTAGGAAAGAGACCTAGAGTTGTTCTTCCTTTAGTACCACTAGAGAGAGCATGGCTCTGACACCACTATAATTTTGAACTTCTAGTTTCCAGAACTGTGAGACAATAAATTTCTGGTGTTTACAGGAGAAAAGGGGGGGAGGTGGGAACCAAGCAATTTCATTTACCACATAAACAGAAAAGAGGGGGGAAATAAACAAAGGATCATCTCAACAGATTCAGAATATTCATTTGATAAAACTGAACACTGACTCATAATTAAAACTCTCAGGAAACTAAGATTAGAAGGAAGCTTAAATCTGATAAAGGCCATCTATAAAGAAACTACAGATATCAAACTTAATGGTGAAATAAGATCAGAACCAAGACAAGGATGTTCTCTGTTATCATTTCTATGTTAACACCTGGCCACTGCAATAAAGGCAAGCAAAGGAGAGCAACAATTTGGTTCTGGAGAAACACAATGTCACTAGTCAGTAGTGGAATAAAATAAAAGTCCTTTAAGGACTAAGACGTACAGCAGGCAAGAATATTGCTTTCACATTATACTATACACTTAACATCACCATTACCAGTAGAAATGATGGTAGGATACATTTGCTTTGGTTTGAGGAAAAAAAAATAAACCAGTCCCTAATGTCTGGGAACTTAAGTGACGCTAACAGCTAGGCCTCAATGTTGCTAAAAACTTATCTGATGCTTATAGCTAAGTCATGTTGTTTCTCCTATTAGACATAAAACCACCTCACAGAACATTCAAGTCAGACAAAGCCACTGTGCAACCAATGAAATACCAAACATCCCCCCTGTCACTAAATAATGGCTACTTCATCAATCATAGCTTTATCCTTGAAGCGGTCTATCCACCCCAGTATAGAATTGCCCCCATTTCCTGACATCACCCAAACCAGAATACGGCTCTACTTCCTTAAATTCTCTCCAAAATAACCCACCCTATACTATACTATTACTGAATTCTATACTAAGTTTTTTTTAACGTCCTCTTACTTGTGTGCCTTACAGTTTCTCTATGGTGAGCATTCCTTCCTCCCTACAAAAGAAACAGTAAACCTAACTTGCTCAATTACAAGTGTATTCCTGGTGGTCTCCGGCTGAAGGGCAAAAAATAAGCCTAGTACAGATTGAGAATCTACTACTTTGTCACAGAATTTCTAGACTGTGGTACATTCTGCATTCATTCTATTTAAGCCAATTACTTAGTCTTCCTAGCCTTTTCATTTAAATTATGGAACTGAATAAAACTATTCATAAAAATTACCTTTCAATTAAACAGAAACCTCAATGCAAAATTACCACAGGGACTATTTTAAGGGTTATTAATTACAGTCTAAAACTACAACTTCAAAGTTTTTCCCTCCCCATCCATTCCAGAGTAATGCTAACTGCAAAATTTTCTGCAAAGAAGATAAATACAAATTTTGTAGTCATTTTTCTTTGCTGACTCTAAACATATAAAATAATTAAATTTATAATATAAGTAGTAAGTTAACCTTTAAATATGTTCAAATACTGAACTGCAATTCTTTTCAATTTTGACCTCACAATATCAACATGTCTCAGATATGTTATGTGGATAGCTGGCAGTTATCACCAGTTGCACTAAAAATAAGAATTCCTTTTAAAATTTTTTCGTAACTTTTAGTAACCCAATTAAGAACATGAACTCTGTAGACAGATTCACGAATTTGAATCTCAGATCTCCCAGGTACTTGTTGTGTGACACTAAGAAAGTTACTTAAACATTTCAATTTCTTAGTTTCATCTACCTTTAAAAGGGAATATATCAGTGCCTGTCACAGATGATGTGGTGAGAATTAAATGAGATTCTACACACTAAGCACTTAGAACGTAGTAAGTACTCAATAAATGTTATCATCTTCATTGTCATCTATGTATATTCAGGATAATGTTTCTTGACCTATGCTAGAAAGACTGAGGTAAATTTCTCTAAAATATTTTTGGCATTTTATACACGAATTAGAAAATCCCCCATACCGGCCAGCCGCAAGAAAAAAAAAAAAAAGAAAGAAAGGAAGTCCAACATGTTTAATACTACATTTAATACTATGTTCAATACCACATTAAATATTAAATTGCCACCACTAAATAACATCTAGTAAAAATAAATATAATCCGAGGCAAGCTGGTTTTATCAACAAAACTGCCATTAAGTTCAGTAATAATAAAGTACTATAAAAAGAATTACAAAACAGCTACCATCCACACCCACAAGGGAGCACAATACAGCCATTTAACACATCTTTTATGGGTTCTAAGTATAATGAAAAACAGACAAAGCAATAAGGAAGTAGCAAGAGCAACCAGTTCAAACTAGTTCAGCCATATCTCTACAAACCAATCAGGAGTCTGCTGTTGGAAATCTATTTTGCATAAGCAAAGCATATTTAAGAAAGATACACATTAGAGAAGGGTGTGTTTACCTGCAAACAAGTCTCCATGGCTGTATTACCAGAACAAAACATTTCCAAGGATCATTTTACACACTGTCACCTGGAACTAAGATGCTATTCATAAAGCTATTCTACAGAATAAATGCTACATTTTTAGGTGGCAACACGAGGATCATGACGCTTTCACATGACTGT